CGGGTTTTTAGCATAGACTACTGCACAGTATGTATTTTGCTTATTGTTGAAGGAACCTGTAGATGTACAGTAACCTTTAGATGTTGTTATGAATACAAACATATGGAGATTTGGTATGATTTCTAATGAGACAACTATCCATTAAAGCTCAAATAGGTGGATAAAAGCAATTTTTCAACAATGAGCAAAACCCATACCGTATAGTCGGCTAAAAAAAGTCCCGACATGAAAAATGTGGAACAGTTCAAACGAGAAAAATAACGGCCAAAATCATAACAAAACAATTTAAGAAAAACACATATGACAGACATGAATTAACGATAACCACTGAACTACAGGCTTCTGACTTGGGACAGGCACATGAAAAATGTGGCGGGGTTAACATTTTCTGTTAGGCAATCATTATTATTATCTCCTTGTTTTTAAAAATATAAGCAATTTATTATTTACTAATTATGAAATTACCTTAGATGTTGAAATCGTTTCTATTTCCTGTTCCTCTTCTGAACTGGCAGCTAATAAAAATCAGTTGCCATTTGCAAAACTCAAACGTATATTTTAAAATACAAATGTGGAAGGGTAAAATAGTGAAATAGGACTGATTTATTAACATGTGTTTGATGTTCAGTATAAATGGGGGCATAGTCAAATCGTTTAACAAGAGGGCCAACAATACGTTTCATTTCATTCTGTCAGTTAAACATAAACATCAGCTTTTCCTTACTCATTTGTCTTTTCCAGTTTTTTTAGATAACGTAGTCTACCATCTTACAAATGAATCAATCCGCTGGATAGACGAATTAACAATCTTATAAGTGTTTTTTACAACAGTCCGTGTCAAATTCATTTACAAGTAGTTAACGTATTCATTTGAAATATACAGTTTGACTATTTTCTGTTATCGAAGCCCGTTTATATCTGTTAATAGTGTTGTCGGATTATTGCAGTTTTTCTCATGTCTATGTCGTTTAAGTTAACCTCCATTTATAAAGTAGTGTGACCACATTGCATCCTGTCCAATCATACTAGGGGAAGGAGAGTAGAACCGAAAGAAAATAAATCGTCATTGAGGGGCAATGACTGTTATATCGCTGCAAATTACGATCGCAGTCACCTGAATTCATTTGCAGATCTTGTCTAGGTGATTATACCGGTATTTGCTGTTTCTAGAGTGTCACTATCTTTATCTTATAAAGTTTCCATAAAGACAGAAAACGGATAGACGTTCCGTTTATTAAGGGCGATGATTTTCTGTGTGGGATCAACTGACGATTTTCGCCGTTTTACTTATGTTACATCTTGTTTTGCTAACTGCTTTTGCTACTTAAAGTTTCTCTCTATTTATTACAGTTTACATGACAATTGTCAAAAAACGCAAAATTGGAGAAATCGTTAATTAAAGAAAATAGCTCTTATGAGTAGTAGACTTACAATTTCGATCATACTAACTTATTTGCAGACTTTCCCTGTCATCTTTGATGATTGAGTTTCAAAAGTTATCTCTGTCTACTGTAGTTTTTGCAACCATCACATAGGCTATGATAACTAAAATCGTTCTGGAATATATAGCAATAACTCCTTTTAGGATCTAATTGCTGATTTAGATTATTTAACATGATGATAGATCTTATTTAACCGTTTGCGGTTTCTCTACTATGATAGTTTACGCATCTTGTGCATTTAAATTGGCATCGTTTATGCTATAACCCGCTTATGAAAAATTGGTTAAAATCGTCATGGCGATCATTGAATACCAAAAGCTATAAAAGGAGTCGACTACCCATCTCCATTGGAACAGACCCTTCTCCAAAACATAATTCGTAATTGCATGTTTATATTCGAGCTCCTCCCAAAGTATTCATGATACCAAAGTTTCATGTAAGGAAAAATGATGAACAAGTGTACAGACGAAACATCAAAGTGCTATCGAAACGAAAAGAGATTGATGAAAAGTTGATGAAACACATCCTTATTCACACGAGGTATATATTACACACTTTGAACTCCATGTTGCAGTTATGGATGTGTTAAGCACAATAAAAAAATATAAATGAATAGATTGGTTGATTGATTAACGTGCAGTGACAAATGTTACATGTATATTGAGGACGAAAACAAACTAACAATTAATACAGTTGGTAGGTCGACCAGGATTGATCGATTGTTCCTGCTTAACACAGTCTGAATAAAGCCAGCCCCCATTTTTCATTTGCGTTTCGGATTAAACGTTCCGATTTCGACTGAAAGTGACTGCGTATGTATACATTCCACACAGCTTAACGGACTTCACTTTAGCAAGGATTTACTGTTTTCTATTTTTTTTTTTATTTTTGGGAGAAGTCCAGGGATTTAATAAAACGTGATGGGAGGTATACTTTGATGAGACAACAAACCAACGACACAGAACAATCAAGACATCGTAAGTCAACATACTGTAAAAGTTTATATGTACTACTTTGCAATATGTTCTTTTTTGACCGGACCCGATTAGGTGGTGTTACATCTTACAAAGTCTATCCAAATTATATTTGCAAAGAATTCCGTTCAATCCGGTACTAGGGGCCGTCTTAAACTTGCAGTGAGATGAGAGTTGTCTTGCTCCCTGTTGAAGGCCCCACTGTGACTTTGAGATGAAGAACAGCAATAAAAGCACTGTTCCTTTGCTTTTTGTGTGTTTTTTGCTGTGCATGTACTGATTTTGTGTCATGGATGGATACCCCATACAAGTATCCTTTGTTTTTCTATTAGACAGATGCCTATACAAAACGTCAAGCCCAAAACCGTCTCATGTCTTAAGAAAGAAAGGGATTTATTTAACGTGATTTACCATCAACGATATGCCGACAGGTACAAGAACACATTTTAAGTTTTTGAAATATTTCATCTTCTCCTTCTTTAATCTCGATCAGTTGAATTATACATTGTAAACACATGTAGGTGCAGTTAAAATCAATAGAGTAAAATCAGTCCAATATATAATAACTATAAAGTACAAAAAAGTACAAACAGTACAACAATAAGACGTGCAATTTCATAGAATTCTAGAAGTAACTAAGAGAGCTAAAACTACATAGCAGCATAATGATATCATCGAAAAAGACACTTTATTATCAATGGCTGATTTCAGAGTATATTTTATACAACATCTTCTTGAATTTATCTTTGTAAACTGTACAGGATAGTATTTAGTGCAATGCCTATACACTTAATATAATGTTATATTTCCATTTATACGATAATAATGAAAACTATAATGTTATGGTTATTTTTAGTTATTTCTTTACAAAACACTCAACATTACCATATATTGTTCCAATATTTTTTTACTATGTTGACTTTTGTCTTATTGTGGTCTTGACAAATAAGAAACTCATCAACGATACCAGGCTTATAATTATGTAAGACAGACGCTCGGTCACTATACGAAAGACTCATCAGTGACGATCGAATGAAAAAATTAAAAGGCCAAAAACTTTATGACCATTGTGGACTCAGCATTCCGAAATATAATTACAGCGAGCAACTATAAAGCTAGGAAAGATCAGAGTGTTCGCTGAATTAAGACGAAGACAGTGAACGACGGATGACTAAAATAACTGTAGTACATTGTTTTGAAAAAATGATGATGCATTTTTCCAAAATATATCGTTCATACACATTTTGAACGAACATCTCAAATCTACATTACTTGATCCTGAAGATGTTACAATTGTTATGTTTAAAAACGATTTTATTCATTGAAGTTTACAGTCATTGCTTTTTTTGTAAAATAAAAATTCACAAATCATTTGGACTGGACAGACGACACTAATGTCATCATTTTGAATTCGCATGCCATGTAGCGTAGGCAAAGTGCGAAATTCAAACCAAAATGAACATTTACATGAATAAACTTCAAGAACCTTATGCATTTGGGTATATTTGATAGGAAGTTGGAAAACAAGCTATTTAAAAAATTAATTGTTGGAAGAGATTTACTTCGTGATTTTTAATAGTCTGGTATTTAAGAATATATTTCCTGATTACTGACGGATAAAAAAATGCCAAATATAAAAAAAAAGTTTCTGTGCAGAACATTCATTGGTCAGTTGTGAATGAGGTCTGTATAGTGTTTTAATAAACTCTTTTATAGAATAATAAATCATTTTTAGAAATTTGAATTTTATAAATATAAAGGAGTAGGTATTGGCCCTAACATTCCATGAAATGTAACATAAGCAATAAGAATAAAAATTTGATTACAAAATATGTAAACATTTTGTCAAAAATAAAATCCAGCAAGCTCTTATTCATAAAAAACTATGACGTCATAATTGAGCACATTTATCATATTGAAAAAAGATTTATGATTGAAACTGACTGAAAATTGAATTTTGAAATATAGAAAAAAAAAATCAAAATAGAATTTTGGAGTTTACAGTTGCAGTAAAATTGGTATCTTAAAAGTTATTATCGGAATATCTATAACTTCAAAATTACAACAACAAATAATTCATTTCATAACAAAACAAACAAATACTTAAAATTCAAATTTTATCTAATTACGTAATATTTGATTTTACGTGCTAACCTCTCGTACTTAATAACGACGAAAAGGTGTATCATTATCTCTCACACACACAAACATCCCACAGTGTTTATTTGAAGCTTCAAATATTAAATAATATAACCGTTAAATCGTGTTCCATTTTCGACTGTTATTTGTATATATCAGTCGAAGGACTGTTTATCTGTCATATAAGTTTAATTCTATTTAGACTCGTCCGTTCTAGGGGAATAAGGCGCAAGTGCTTTTCTGTACTTTTCGTCAATTTTTGACGATTTGTAAGTCAGTATATTAAGTTCTATGATAAGTTAAAATTGACATTAAACTTTTACTATCATTTATAGAACTCATAAACTAGGTTGGACATAATTTAAATAAATATTTATAAATAAACCTGTTTTTAAATCCCATTCAATATCGATATTTAGGTCATAATATATGTAGAAATAAGACCCGTTACTATGCCCTAATTAGTTTATATAGTATGTGCAATATGCTTGATATTTACTAAAATTATTGATTCTAAGGATGATTTAAAACAAAGGAAATATTCTGTGCAAAATATAAGGACTTCGCTTTCTTAAATGAGTAAGAAAATTAATATCTAAATCAAGGAAACACAATATACAATGTACATCACACAAAGTTAAACGTCAATCCGTATTTATAAATCAACAGTAACAATGGGGAAACATATTAGAAATACTTTTAAAAACCCGTTCAGTTGGGATTGTTTTTAATGTACATGTAACAAACAGCCTGTATTATTATTCAATGTCTTAGTTACATATCTACATGTATGGTGATATTATCTCAGAGTGTTGAATACAGAAAATAATAATGTTTTACGTAAAAAATTACAATGTCATATGAAAATAAGAAGGTGTGGTATGATTGCCAATGAGACAACTCTTCACAAGAGACCAAATGACGCAGAAATTAACAACTATAGGTCACCATGCGGCCTTCAACAATGAGCAAATCCCATACCGAATAGTTAGCTATAAAAGGACCCGAAATGACAAATGTAAAACAATTTAAACGAGGAAACTAACGGTCTAGTTTATGTACAAAATAATGAACGAAAAAAATATGTTACACTGTTTACATATACTATATAAAATATGTATTTATATTCATAATTATACAAAACTTGGAATTAGCTTATGCTATTGCTATCATTCTATCATCTTTTGTAGATTCATGTGGGGAAATTCGTGCGATACTATACAATTATAGCCTTTATAATTATAACCCCGTAAATTCCTACAGGTTACATTAAAGTCTGTTGGTCTATAATCGACACTGTGGATGCCTTACACTCAAGACCTATACAATATATACAAATTTATTCACAGACAAGTTTACAGCTTGAGAGCTAGGGGTAGATTGCCCAAGCAACAGTTTACAAAACAATTATACATTAATTCAAAGTTAAGGATCTTAAAACATTACAAAAGGTTCTGATAAAATATATCTATTATTGTCCAATAATATGCAATAATAATCGGATTATTGCCCTCCGGCTAAACTTAGTAAAATAGCGATACTTGCTTCTTTTGTAGTTGAGTGTAAGATACATGTATTATCTTTTGCACTTTTAATTGCCATCGGATTAAGTTGTAAATTATTGAAATCTATAATCTATTTAGGTACTTGAAATAAAGAAACATTATATTTAAGAATAAAGAAACATTTAAAACAAGAAATATTCAATTTAAAACGACACTCATTAATGTTCTGCTAATCATATAAAGCACTTTTTGAACTGATTGTAAAAGTTCATAACGGCACTTTTCTTCCGGTTATTTATACGGTATATTGTCATATTACTATTATCAATAAGCGAGAAGAAGAGCACCAATTCATTTGATTGGTTGTTTTGATTGTGTCAGATATTCTAAAAAAAATAACCGTGCTATTTCACTCTTCTTTCGGCTGTTTTAAGTCTACCTCTGAAAATATAGTTTAACATGTGACTTGTTCTAAACGCATATAATTAGTTAGAATATAGTAATATTATCTTTAAGATCTTAAGATTGCTCTGGTGTCTGACCGCCCTATGAAAACCATCCGACGTCAGAGCTATACCGAACTGTAGTCAAGGTTGTAAGGAAATAATTAGACATCCACTTTGTACCTGTAATGACCAGTAGAAATTTTTGCTGAAATCAAACTCTGATAATACAGAGAATGACCATTTGTTGAATGATGACAACTACATTGATAAATTATTTCTTAAAGCATTTGTTAAATATAGTTTCAGTGGGATATCCAGTGAACGAAAACAAAAGAAAATTCACTCTTATTATGATAGAGTCGAGAAAGTCAATAATAAAACAATGCCGGTGACGATACTGACCAAAAGTGATTTCCAAATAATAATTTTTCATTTTAAAGAAATTATTTGTTAAACTGTGTTACTAGAAATATACATGCAAATACACGATGTTTTATGTTCAGTAATTATCGAGATAATTGCATTAGAAGCTTGTGAAAATGAAATTTAAAAAATGCCAATCTTTGCTGCATATTGATAAAAAAAAAAAAATGGAAAAAATCATGAAAATACAAAATCTAAAGATCTTTCGGGTCACAAATTCCACAAAGTCCTTAGCATGTTACCAGTTCTCAAAGTATACTTATTTTTTCACACCTAAGTTATCGAGCACACCGGTCTGCTCTTGTCACATGTACATTCAAAAGAGAAATATTGTCTTTTCGTGAATATGAAAATTAAAAAAGTCTGTCTGTGCAGGTTAAGAAATTAAAGATAAATATAAAGTAGGTATCTTTCTACTATCTTTTATACAATTTAAAGAAAAGGTCGTCTCGATTTTTGTACATGTATTTGCGCTCTTCTCGATCTATTCACATTCAATGTTTACATCGAGATAAGGTCCGTTTGAATTTGCTTAGTAACTTAATTTCAAAAGTGCAAATCTTTGCTGCATATCAATCGATTCCTTTGGAATATTTTCCCTGACTTTCTCTGATCTAGCTGTATATACATATACGAATTATTAGCATGTTCCAGAAAGGTATACAGCCAGTAAAAAATAATTTGAAGCTAGTACTCCAGAAATTTATTTGCATAGCAACATTTTAAACCAATTTTACATCAAGATTATATAGCCTGCTGTACTCGTCGTTTGCTACTTAAGGAAGGAAATGATAACATTGAATGGAAGTTTTTTTTTATTTCAACTTATTTCTAATTTTACTATTCACCAGAACGTTTTCCAGTGAATCCATAATTGATAGCGTCCTTGCTAAAAAGGGACAAACATTGAGAAGATCTAGTTTTTAGTATTTACAGTGAAGGTAATATTTTGTCACTAGATTTCCCACTTGTTTGCACAACTTGTAGATTAAAAACTAGTGCTGTATCGTTTACTTTGTGTTATAATTTTTGCTCGCTACGATAAATAATTTTGCTCAGTTTTTTGTTTTCTATGTTGTGTTTTGTTAACTATTTGTCTTTTGATCTTTTTTCTCTTTTTTGCAATGGAATTTTTCTTCTATTTATAAGTATAGTATTTTCTGTCTCTATTTTGCGTGGATGCCTTTTAAAGAAAACAAAAATTAAACATTTATGCTTCATCTAAAAAAGTTGAAATTATAAATCTATTATATTCTATAATAGATTTTTATTTGTGGTTTAAAATTCATGCGACGCAGTCAAGAAAAGAAATGAAATACTTTTACATATGGAACGCCACAGCTGTCTTATGTGGAACTCTGATATTACTTTATGTTGTTTTATTATTACTTGATGATATTTTGTCTTTACTTAATATGGTTTTGACATTACGTAATGATGTTTTGATATAACTCAATATTGAATAGTCATTACTTAATGATATTTCGATATTACACGATATGGTTTCGTATTGACTTGATATAGTTTTGTCATTACTCAATATGGTTTTGTCACGACTCGATATGGTTTCACCATTATTTAATGTGGTTGTGTCATTAGTCAATGTGGTTTTAACATTACTTGATGTGAATGTGACTTAACGTTATGTAGTTGTTTCATTACATGATGTGGTTTTGTTATTTTGTAATGATGATTTGCCTATTCTTTATATGGTTTTAACATTACGTAATGATGTTTCAAAATTTGACGATTTTACACTACATGATGTGTTTGTTTCATTATTTGATGTGGTCCTGTCATTCTTTGATGTGGTTATCCCATAACTTGATGAGGTAAAACCACGTGACCAATTCGGAAAAAAAATATGTTCTATTTTTAAACAGATTTCAATATATCGTTTGTTTAATGTGCTTTGGATGGGTATCGCTATCCATTGAGTTAAAGTTCAAATTAAAGTTCGAGTGGTTGTTCAGAGTTACTTGGTATGAAAAAGGGGAACGGCAGACAATAATAAGAAAAAAAGTATTAAAACGTTTACAGTATTTCGGACATAATTAAGATATCCCCAAACCACTTGGTCCTGTTGTTTTTATCCTAAGTTCTCAAACGGAAGCAGTATTTTTGGGGCTCGGACTAAGCGACAAAGCATCAATACTATAAAATAAGAATTCTCCGAATTTTTTTAGCTTAAATGTACATGTGTCATTTGTACTTATACGAATATCAATCTTTTATTTGTAATCAATTGAATTCCCTGATCTACCTCGCACTAATTGAAAAATAAACTTTTGGAATATCTGTTTCACATGTGACGACGGACATGTTCCAGTGGTCGTAACCATAATGCCGTCATCTTTTCCTTGAATGTAAACTACCAAATAAAACCAAATCACTGGGTTTGTACTTTCTCGAATAACACGACGAGTGCCTTTCTGGAGCATCCGAGATCACCCCGATGGATTTATATTACCCAGTCATACCGATCTATTGAACCAGCCAAATGAAACTGTTTTGTATGCTACCGCAACTGAAAGTTGGGAGGGGGGGGGAGCATATTGTTTTACCCATGTCCGTCCGTCCGTCCGTCCGTCCGTCTGTCCGTCCCATTATGGGTATACAGTTATTCCGCTTAACTCCTCCTACAGTTTGAATCCTAGGAAGTTTCTCTTTACTGTCTGTTTGTACATATATTGAAGGTGTGCATGTGGACAGGGTTTTTATTTTTATCATCTTTTGCTCTTTTGGGAGATAATCGAACTTTTTTTGTCAATTTGGGACATAAGCGGTTAAATGAGTTGAGTGCGGGGGCATCACTTTGTCTAGTTTACATTTTTTTTCTCGTTTTGTGCTGTTACACAACTGTAACAGTCCGATGTAAGGTTAGGATTTAGCGCTCACATACATGTTAAACTCCGCCACGTGCACTTTCTTTATGTACCTGCCCCAAGTCAGGAGCATGCAGTTCAATTGTTGTCGTTGTATAAATGTATGTCTTTTTTTTGTAGATTGTTTATTTATAAATAAGACCGTTTGTTTTTTCGTTTGAATTTTTTCACATGGTGCATGGTGGCGTTTTGTAGATGACTATACGCTGTGTTGAAGGCTGTACGGTTGCCTATATATGATTTCTTACATCCACTGCATTTAAACTCTGGTAGATAGTTGTCTCATTGTCAATCACACCACATCTAACTTTATTTCAACTTCTATGTTGCGTTTATCTTTTGTACGCATACCCCGGAGCCCTCTTTTCGGAAGCCCGAGTAAAAGTCCTTGTTCCGCGATAGAAAATTTAATTACGAACTCATATAAAATAGCTCGAATTTCAACTCAAAATCTTAATTAATCTTAATGAGACTTAAATTCGAATCTTACTCAAACTCTACCTCAAAAAGTTACTCAAATTTAATGTTGTAACTAGAACTCTACCTTTAAATGTGACTCAAACTCGAAGTCCAACTCGAAACTCAATGCTAATTAAAACTTTAATTCTAATAATGACTTGAATTCGAAATCGAAGACTAACTCAAAGTTTAACTCAAACAGTAACCCGAACTTTAATTTGAACTCTAATTCGATGGATGGCCACACTCATCCAAGGCACATACAACATGGAAATCTATCTAAAAATAGAACAGGTTTTTCCGAATTGGTCACGTGATTTTACCTCATCAAGTAATGGGATAACCACATCAAAGAATGACAGGACCACATCAAATAATGAAACAAACACATCATGTAGTGTAAAATCGTCAAATTTTGAAACATCATTACGTAATGTTAAAACCATATAAAGAATAGGCAAATCATCATTACAAAATAACAAAACCACATCATGTAATGAAACAACTACATAACGTCAAGTCACATTCACATCAAGTAATGTTAAAACCACATTGACTAATGACACAACCACATTAAATAATGGTGAAACCACATCGAGTAATGACAAAACTATATTGAGTAATGACAAAACTATATCAAGTCAATACGAAACCATATCGTGTAATATCGAAATATCATTAAGTAATGATTATTCCATATTGAGTTATATCAAAAAATCATAACGTAATGTCAAAACCATATTAAGTAAAGACAAAATATCATCAAGTAATAATAAAACAACATAAAGTAATATCAGAGTTCCACATAAGACAGCTGTGGCGTTCCATATTTACACACCAGTAGTTATATACATTGAGGTTAAAACACGTGAAATAATCTGTGTTAATGCTTTTTAGAATGGAGGTCACTAGAGAGCATACTTTTGCCGTCGTGTTCTTGTTTTGTCTTCATATCAACAGTTGTTATGGAATATATTCAGTTGATTGTAAGTATACTTATTATGTCGTGAATTTAAGCAAACTCGTAGAATGTTAGTCATACATATTAATTATTAGTTTTAAGGTTTTTTTTAGAAGGAAAGCTTTTCAACAAAACTGTTGTTTTAAGGAACATCTTTGCAATATTGTTAGATTAAATCATATCTTGAGTGTTTGAGTGTATTATTTTTTGTGTCTTTGACGAATGCATGATCGCAGATGTTTTTTGTATTCCTCTTTAATTCATAGTTGTTGATTTTATCCAAATATTAATTTTCCTTTGTGTATAGTGTAGATAATAACAGTATCAATGAACACATATACATTGTCTGAAAACAATATTACATGTATATTTTATCAGGATAGAAATGTTTGGCAAATGATTTAATTTGAAAATTGTATTTTTCCATTTGCATTCCAATTCAGTTTGTCTTTTAAACGGACTTTCTACGTTTAATCATTTGTTGATGGTTTATGACTATGAATGTCTTTTGTCTCGTGGTATTTTTGTTGGTTTAGATTGTTTTTGTATATACACTGGAAATTTCCTGAAATATTAATCGGTCTTAACATAATTTAATGGCTTGAAATATTCTCAAACTAAGAAAAATTCTAATTTTCGCTCTCTTTATAAGTCTACAAATTTTAGTTATATACAAATATTTAATTATTTTTTAGTACAGTTTACGTCATATAATTGTGATGAGGACGCAAGACGACTAACAGAGAGTAAATTTTATAATTTATCATGGAATGGACAAACTTCTCCTAAACTATGTGATTTTAGTTTTACTGGAGGAGAGTTCAATAATCATAGATCGTATGAAGTCTGTTTTGAGTCATTGCTATTTGATTTGCCGTCTTCTTCTGGTAATGTGGAGCTGCAAGTACAAAATAAAACGGGAAGTGAATGGGTAAGTGCATACTTTGAATGATACCATATTAGTTATAAATATGTGAAGGATTCTGAACCGCGATGGTACTCCGATGCGATGGTCATGCTGCAGTTCGATGGTCCGCGCTGAAGTGCGTTTTTTAACACGCTGAAGTGTGATGATGACAATGTGACGCTAACTTGTAGATAGCTACGCTGAAGTGCGTTGGTGGTTACGCTGAAGTACGATGGTCTTACTGTGACATTGACGTTGATGGTGTATACTAGCTAAAATGCAATGGTCTGAAGTGAAAACCACGTTTAATGTGGTTGTGTAGTGGTAAGCGTGCTAGCATTGCATTTAGAAGGTTGGGTTTGATTTCTAGTCAGGTGAAACCAAAGACTTCAAAACTTAAATCATATAATTCTCCGCTTAGCATGAAGCAGTATGGAGCCAAAACATATACTGGATGGTTCAGAATTAGTATACTGGATTTAAGCGGGAGGACACGTCTTTATATGAAGTGTTCAATTGCTATAAAAAAAAATTCAACCATGTCGGTCACTAGTTCTACGCAGGATTCATCTCATGTAATCAAATGTTACTTTTTCTCGTCATGTCATAGCTGAGAAAGTACTCACAACATTCCATTTATCTGATGTCGTAACAGTTTTCAAGAGTGAAAAAAACGCCAAGTATATTTATGCTTGACTTATGTCGAGACATGTCACTTGTTTCACCAAATACTTTAAAAGCTGCCCCTACGCTGAGCAGGAGAAATTAGGAAGTACACTTAGGGACCAGTCGTGTTTATTACGGCCTAACTTGTGGTAGAAGATTAACCCTGTAGCCACAATAACATTTGGCTAGAGTGCTGATTATCTGACGAAGCAGGATTTATCTTAGGAATAAAACAATATTATATCAACTTGATATAAGAAAAACATTTGCTAATATTTAATTTTATTATTCAATTGTCCACACGAACTCATATGAAGCATACGTGAAAAGAAGTAAAAATTAATATTAAGGGCAAAATATTTTATTAGTGTCGTACAAAAAAGTTTGCGGCATACTTCCGAACACTGGTTAGCCCATCTTCAGACCAATGTTCAATGACATCTTTCAGCCGATTTGCTCCCCACGATTTGCTGCTTGACTTTGTTTTACATATTTTTGTGACCTCCACCTGCACTGCTCAAAAATGTTCTGGACTTGAATCATTCGTTACTTTCTTTTCCCTTTCCTTCTATTTCTTTTGTTAGCATGTAAACTTCATAATCTTATCCTCCTGTCTGCAAATTACTGTTGTATCTAAAATAACGTTGTATCTGAAAACGTTCCAATATTCAAACGTAATGCCAAACCATCGCACTTCTGCGAAAGGACCATTGTACTTCAGCGTTCCCATCGCACCCCGAGTCCTGCATATGTATCACTATACCAGGATACACCATGTGTAGCTTGTTTCTGCCTATCACCATGGCATGAACACTGGGACTATAAATTTTACTTGTTTAAAACTTTCCATTTTTATAAGGCAGCATTTAAACAGCATCTTTATTTAGAGTACATAGCTTTTTGAGCTGATATGATATTCGATATAATGTTTTCTTATCATGATTTCCATTTCATAGAGGGGTAATGCTTACAAAGGAGCAATTATGCCATGATATAGTAGGTAGAAGTTATCTCCTTTGAACCTTTTACGCATCTATAATATTTCGGTGAATGTTACCGAAAATTGGTGTCAGAGGTTACCTAAACCAACCAGAACAAAGTGGTTGTTTACGCTACTGAATATGGTATCGCACTAGATTATGAAGCACCAATCCTGTATGACAGAAATGTTGATTATGAGTATTATGTCTCGAATAGGCCATTGGGAAACATGATACATTACTCTTCCAAATCTGATAATTTTATTGTTCGGTTTTGATTTGGGTCCCCGTTGCTCAACCTGCATTTTATTTTTAGTATTTTTCTCCTTTTTCGTCAATCCGTGATGGTGTCAATTTATAATCATTGATGGTCCGTATTAATAAAGGCAACAGTAGAATACCGCTGTTCAATAGTCATAATTTTATTAAGCAAACACAAATCCGGGTAACAAACTAAATCCGAGGGAAACACATCAACTATAAGAGGAAAACAACGGAACAACAGAAACACTGATCTACAACAAAAGCAAACACCAACATATATAGAAACGGACTGTACAGTAAATGACAACTGCCATATTCCTGACTTGGTACAGGACATTTTAAGAAAAAAATGGTGGGTTGAACCTGGTTTTATGGCTAGCCAAACATACCGCTTATATGACAATGTTGAAAATACCGCTAAAATGACAACACTACGTGTCAGGAATGCAGTACAAAACTGTTTATTTTTTCTTTATTTAACAATTTATATTAAATGATATAATACCATATAAATAAATGTCTAAAAAAAACAAATAAAAACAAACTGCAAAAAATATCAACACAATTTTGCTACAAAGGAACCTCTCAGATTTATTTTATATATTATTAGTTATACGGTTTAGACTTTTATCAATTTGTTGATAGATCAATGCCCTGCCGATAATGATTGTACAAATAAATTTTAAAATGTTCAAAATTAAGTAAAAAGTTGTATTATAATTTTAATATTTTGTCATCATTTCATAGTGCGTCTGACTGCTTGAATATCAAACAGTCTCCAATCAGAATAGAATATGACAGATTCAACAGAAGGTTTCTAGGCGCGGAATTTAAAAGCCTTGTTTTCATCTATTTCTTATCAACCTTCTTTTATTCATTGTAGTCATATACTAGTGCTGACAGATTTATAGAGAAAACCTGTGTAAAACAGGCATACGAGTTAAGCATGTCCATTATTTTACCAAATGGATATACAGAGCCAACACAAAAGACCTATCTCATCATTAAAGTGACAGCCTCTCGTTTAGAAGGTGATAATCTTTAATGATAAAAAAGTTGCACGCATAACATGTAACCAGCTTGGGATACAAATACTAAAGGTCGTTTAATGACCTTATTGAAATTACGAGGTTTACTAAATTTGAAATGCCAGACGAAAAAAATACCCCAAAAAGCACATACCAATTGAAGTAACTGGATTTGTTAAATTGATATATTTTTTTAAATCAGAGATTTAATTATATAATAATCAAAACGAAATAAAAAAACAACCCCTGATATTTCATAATTCATTTTCTTATCAACCCTTCTGTATTATTCGATCAGAGGAACATCAAAGGACACCGTTAAAACAGATCTAATTATAAAGTATGGTATTGAACAATATAATAGTTTTAAAAAGATCAACACCGAATTATGCTTCAATAAAAGTAACTCTGTTTTAAGGTGGTACATAACACTACAGGGAGATAGCTCTGTTAATATCAGGTGAATGTTTTAATCACGTTCTATTGTTAAGGAAATATTAAGCTTCTTAATGATCAAAATTAGTGATTGACAAACAGCTATATATCCAATTAAATTTTTCCGATAAATTATGGTTCAATTTTTTTGATTTTTTTATATTTTTGTCAAAGGGACAAAGTAAATATTTTGTCCAAATTTTATGAAAATTAAACAAGCCAAATAAATTTTAGTCAAGGTGTTTTGTAACACCTTAAATAGTATTTACATTTAAATAAAACATTGACAAACAATTGGTCTTAGATGCATGATTTATTTTTTATTTGTTACGTTTGGCTTTGAACTAGCTGTCAGTAATTGCGAGTACTCGCAGATCTGTACTTAGTGTCTTTTTGTTGTTGGGATGTACAAGTACCCGGCCACGTCCACTCTGTGTTTTTGTTAGATGTATTTCTCTTTATATCCATCTGATGAGTTAAGCCTTTTTCAACTGATTTTTATAGTTTGTTCTTATGTTGTACTGTTACACCACTGTCCCAGGTTAAGGGAGGGTTAGGCGCCCGCTAACATGTTTAACCCCGCCACATTCTGTATGTATGTGCCTGTCCCAAGTCAGGAGCCTGTAATTCAGTGGTTGTCGTTTGTTGCTGTGTTACATATTTGTTTTTCGTTCATTATTTTGTACATAAATTAGGCCGTTAGTTTTCTCGTTTGAATTATTTTACATTTGTCATTTCGGGGCCTTTTATAGCTGATTACGCGGTATAGGCTTTGCTCATTGTTGAAGGCCGTACGGTGACCTATAGTTGTTAATTTCTCTGTCATTTGGTCTCTTGTGAAGAGTTGTCTCATTGTCAATCATACCACATCTTATTTTTTATATATATACTTATAATTTTAGAAGAACCAGCTGTAACAGTCTCCAGCATTATTTTAACTGTGTTTTCTGTTGCGATATTTATTGGGTGTGCATGTGGTATGTTTCGCTGTTTTAAGTCGGATACGGGACCTAGTGGCGTCCTTTCATGTATTGGTGAAGCGTTATCATATTGTTTGAGATGTAAATGTTTTGGTGATTGCAACTGTAGAGACAATTTATCATCATGTGACTGTGACGATATACTCAAGCCCTGCGGAGAATGCTGCTCTGCATGGGCGGGATGTTGTACAACACTCGTGTTAAGAGTGAGAGGCGAGAGTCCTCAAAATCATTCGTCGGAAACGACAGAAATGGATTCAATACCACAGGAGCCGGAACAGATTAGCGTGTCGTCTTTAATACTTGAACCTACCGGACCGCCACCGAATTACCATTCATTACAAGGTATTTATTATCATTTACTACTCTTAGTATACATTATGTTATACAACTGTTGACTTTCGCACAAATACAACCTATTTTGATTATTTCAGCTCAAATCATATATTCATTATTAACTATTGTTTTTGCTTATTTAGATTATTTCCAAGCGGTCAATTAATACACTTTTAAAATGCAGCTTATAAGGGCAATTGTATGATAGAGGAAAGAAAATTCTACGATAAATGTAATAGTATAGTTTGATCATGACAATCATTATTCGTAATGTTTTAAAACCGAATCATATCTTAATATTTAATGTCAAATTATTATTTTTAATGCTTTACAAAACAACATGAGAATATGATACTTCTTCAAGGAAAGTTTTGAATAAGGAATGTCATATGCAACACTGGATCTGCTATAGATTATCAGCAATTGTTTATGTCGTTTGAACACTTGTTTTATTCAATAATCTTTTATTGAATAGTTTTCAGAACTCTAATTGATACACATAATTTTTACACACTTCTAGTTTTTTATACTTATTTATTCAAGATGTCATTTCACGTTGTCGGTATATTTCGAAAATAATTTAAGATTATTACTATTCTTTGAAGAAGAAAAAAATTATCTCTGGCATAGAAGTTATAAAAAAACAACCAAATAAGGGTGACCACATTATGCGTTATGAACATGTTCATGTGATTCGTCAAAATCTACAACGATGATATTTAGAAGAATAATAGCAAACATGGAAAAATTAATTAATAAATAAAAATTTTTTTTTTGTGCCGGGAAAACACTTAAGCCCTTGTTGCTGTTACAAAGAGGTTTTACGAAATTGTCTATGTCTTCGGACCGTAAATCTATGAAAAGTAGATCTATAAAAACATATGTAGCTACCATTATACACTTGTTAACCAAACAAAAGCTTATTATCACCAGGTTAAACGAACAAAATTCATATAGTGTTTTGATTTCGAAATGACGGACGGACGAATGTGGATAAAACAATATGATTTGGACTCTGAGTAATAGAATAACTAATCAAATTCATTATTGATTACATCAGAGGAGTGAAACAACAGGATTATTTTCACATGTGAAATATCAATTTTATTTTGAAAAAAAGAAATCACGACATTTTCGTTGCAACCAATATAATATTTAAAGAAATTAAACACCACGGTAAGTGTAACAGTTAAATGAGTTCATCAACGCATCGAACCATGTGTACCTTTGCATAATAAATATGAAAAAAATGCTCTTGATCTCGAAATCAAACGTTCTGTCTCGGGTAAAAGTTAGCAAAGTATAATATTCAATTAACTTCAATCCATTCAATATTTCATTGTCATTAAACACTCTTATTTATAAAAAGCAAGTAGATGTGGTATGATTGCCGATGAGGCAACTAAAATACTTTTGACAATACAAATACTTGTTAAACTTCATACTACATATTAGTGATCATTTTTTGTCTGTTGCAGGAGATCCATTAGCGCCTCCTCCAACCTATGAAGTCGCTACAGGTTATAAACTACCTTCAGCTCCTCCGATCAAGTATTAAATATTATAATACAATCACCCATGACGAGAAAGAGAGAGAGCGAGCGACAAAAAAAAAATAGTTGTGTATTGTGGCATCTTCTATATATAAAAACTATGATGACATGACGTCTTTATGAACTTATTCTTACAAATTATCAGTTCAATTGGTGACGTTCAAAGAATATTTGTCGATTCAAACAAACAAAAAATTAAGATAACGCTTATTCACAAATGTCGTGGTTCCAGGGACAATATCAAGGAAGTACGTGTATATGCGTTCGAAGCTCTTGATACCCTAAACAGAGAAATGAATGAGATCTAAAAAAGTTCATTTCTGTTTTAATCCGGAAAAAAACCGCACTTTTAGTAGATGTTGTCTAAAACAAAGAATAAAACAAGTTGGCAAAAGTATAGATTTATTTCGTTAAATGTATCTTCTTTCAGTTGTAAACAACACCGCAAAATTGAAGCAAAACTAAATAAAAGTTTCAATTATATTCAATTTGGTGGTATGAGTTTAGATGATATATTCAAAATTACAATGAATTTGGTCTTTGTATCAATTGTCTCTCCCTACAACATCATACATACGTCAGGCTACTTGGGCCATATATTGTTTTTGCTGTTTGTATTTGGTTGTATGTCTTTAACGTCGGAGAAAAACATCGATGAGGTAATTTGTACTGTGTGGTATTGCTGGCGATTTAAGTGTTTCAAAATTTTACATAGAATTATTCTGTTTCCCCTGAAAGTTATTACCGGGCATGTTATAATTTTTTTTAAATGCCTTTTTGTACATCCCTTTGTCATACCATTATAAAAAGGGAATATAAAGTTAAATCCGCTCTTAAAAGTGGAGCAAAAGATAACAAAGGGATACTCAAACTCACAAGTCGAAAATAAACTGACAATGTCATGGCAAAAAACGAAAAACGACCAAACACAAACAACAGTAAACAAAAATACAACATAGAAAACTAAAGACTGAGCAACACGAACCCCACTAAAAATCCGGGATGATCTCAGGTGCTCCGTAAGGATTAGCAGATCATGTTCCACATGTGATACAATTAGTAACATTTTCAATTTATAAAACATAGCAATATGATACCAAGAAGCAATAAAAATCGAGGTCGAATAAAAACAGACAACAACATGGCCACACAAAAAAATCCGACTGTAAGATATACCACAATCAACAATCCACGAAAAACACTTCACAGAAACTTAAGTTTGAGCAACACGAATCCTACCTAAGACAGGATATAAAAAATGTATAAATGCATAAAACTAAGGTTGAAGTCGAAGTTGATGTTAGACTGCTGTGACTGTTCTGTATATGTCTTTTTGGTTGTATGCTCGAAAACATTCTTTATCTTTCAATCGTTTTGGCCTCAATCGTGCGTGATGAATATATAGAAATAATGAGATGTTATATGAATGACAGTTCGTCGATCATTCATCAAAAGATCACAACGCTAGGATTTTAATAACTGATATTCATCGTTAGCCTTTTCTAGTTCATTTAAATCTCAGGTTTTTGTATTCTACATCGATTTGTATTTTCCAGTTTAATGTGAGATTTGAACATCGGTAAATTAATGTTGCCTCAACTTTAACTTTTTTGGGTTTTGATTGCTCTTCATTTTCTTATTTATGTTGGCCTTCCAATTGTTTTAATTCGAGAGCCACTAAGGGGCGGCTGGCTTCACAAGCCTGGTATATTCAATTGATGACCATTTACAACTACTGAGTCGCTGCCACTGTTGGTAGACATTGCATTCCTCAGGGGTATCATCAGCACAAAAGTCAGCACTAAATTTGACATGATATTTCATGATATGGTCATTTACATAAATTTAAAGTATTTGAAGCACTGCGTTTTGCTACAACAAGCATAGATGGTCTTAGCCATAGTTGGCACCATTTTTCGGTAGATGTAGTTTTCAATGCTGTTCAACTTTGATTTTTTTAGCGCTCCACTTGTTTTGATTCGGGCGCCAATGATTTGTCTTATGTAGACGAAACTCGCCTCTTGCGCAACAAAGTACAAGCCTGGTATCTGAAATGAGTTCGTTTTAATAATGAGCAAAACTCATACTGTTAAAAATGTAAAATTATAAACGCAAATTTTGATACAAAAGTTCCCGTTTGGATTAGGTTTTTTTAAAATTTATAATATGATAAAAGTACTTTAAAAATGAGAGGCGAAAGATACCAAAGGGACATTCAAACTCATAAGTCGAAAATAAACTGACAACGCCATGGCTAAAAAAGAAAAAGACCAACAGACAAGCAGACACACAGACAAACAATAATACACAAAACACAACAGTTTCATTATGATATTCATTCAGATACCAAATTTTTCAATATTCTGTTCGAATTGTGGAGTCATTTTTTTTTTATCATTAATGTCTAGTGATTAAAAGCGAGGACAGCCTTTCCAATTCTGATCAAAATCGTTAACAATCATAAAAACATCTAGATAAAGGGATCATTTTTACGAGATGGTCAGATCGTAAGGAATAACGATACTCTAAACAATACATAAATGAAATATACATCTATTTTTTACATTTATGATTATATAAATGACCGATATTTAATATCTTGAGTAACACGATTAAATTTCAATAAAATGTTAGGTTAACATTCAGTATCCGACCAGTTTCAGCTTTGATCATCAGGGATAGTGAGATTATCATTAACAACGTCGTTAAGGACGACGTTTGATGGTTCGTATATAATGTTACTTTGATTGTTTAACATTTTTCTAAAAAAAAATCTTTGATAATTATTTTTGTCTCAGTTGACGTAGAAATCTATATATTGGGAAAATATGGAAGTTAAAAAAATTTTAATTTAATTTCGTTGTTTATTTTTGCAGATTGAATATATTTATCTATTTAGTAAAAGAACTCTTAACATTTTTTTCAGAATTTTCCTTTAAGTAGTCAAAAATTTGCCCATTAGGTCTAATGTATAAATTCCTTTTTTAGGAAATATAAGGAAATGAAAGAATGAATTGGTATTAACATAATTTTACCCTACATATTTGTATATAAAACATTGTAAAAGGAGTTCATCTTGGTCAAAGGATTGTCATTTGCATTTGAGTAAATGGTGTGGTCATTAACTGTACCTCCATCTATTTATGGTTGATCAAAGACATACAATAGGGTACTATATATGCCTTTGATTAGATTGTGAAATACATATTTACTATGGAGACCTAAGGGAAACGTTTCAAATAATTTACACAAAATTCTGGCAAATATTGTCCGAGTTGGATGTATAACAATAAGCAAAAAATAGGATAGAATTCAGATATTAGATATGAAAAATTGATTTTTAATAGTTTATGTTCAAAGATTTATAGAACCCACACGAATTTTAGTTGTGTATCATTTAAATGTATATCGATTATAATGCTGTTTTTAAACCCCAATCAATATCTATTTTTAGGTCATAATAAATGTACAAATAAGTTCCGTTTCTATGCTCTAATAATGCTGTGGAATATTTCAATTTGTGTAACATTTACTGAAATTATTGATTCAACAAAATGGATAAAAACAGAAGAAATATTCTTGGCAATATATAAGGACTTCATCTTCTTGAATGAGTAAGAAAGGTATTATCTTAATTTAGTAAACACGCCATACAGGAAGTTGACATGACTTATTAAGGTTCATCATAACAAATGGACAAAAATGGCTGTATTTACACCTCAAAAACTACTCTGAATACAGACTAGCCTGTCCAGTTTGAAAAGTTTGAAGGCCTGGCATCCACTAGATATATAAAAGTTAAATGTATTTTGTGTTTCAGAAAGATAAAATCTTTTTTGGATTTTGATGGGCATTATTTTTCGTTCCTGCTGTTGGTGTAAAAATAAACAAACACCTGAATTGCTTTTATACTGTCCACCCAGTTACACCTTTAACTCCCCTATAGTTGTGTAGATACCCATTGTCTGTCTATTGTCCATGTCAATCAAGGATAATTAATGCAATACAATAGTTGTTACCTGATAGGGAGCATCTCAAAGTTGTATCCAAACTTAGTTTATTTTTACACCTTCTGCAGGAACGAAAAAAAAATGCCCATCAAAATCCAAAAAAGATTTTATCTTTCTGAAACACAAAATGCATTTAACTTTTATATTTAGGTTAGTCTGTACTCAGATTAGTTTTTGAAGTGTAAATACAGCCATTTTTGTCCATTTGTTATGATGAACCTTAATTCTATTAAATCAACAGTATTTACAAAGGAAACAATTTCATTTGAAATACGTTCAATCAAAAGCCTTTAATATATGTTCATGTATAAGGAGATGTGGTATCATTGCCAATGAGATAATTATTCATCAAAGTCCAAATGCGTTGGATCTAAACAAATTTGGGTTACCGAACGAGTCGAGATTGTTTATAATGTTACCAAAACGGCTTCTATTATAATTCACTGTATAGTGGTTATATAAATTGCTAAAAAGCACCTGTATTAGTATACATCATTACATTGATGTTCAAACACATGTAGTAATATTCGTCATACATTTTTCAGAATGCAGTTTATCACAGAGCAAAATGTCGTTTTAATTTTCTTGATTGGCCTTCATATGAACAGTTGTTATGGATTCTATTCAATTAATTGTAAGTTTACTCATATATTATCGAGTTCGCTAGTAAGCCATACATACTGTAAACCAACTAATTTTCGCGACTTTCGGGAGTAGAAAACTAATGCAAATATAAATCGTCTCGAATATGTTAAACTTCTATCTTTTCTTATATCAATACATCAATGAAATTAGAACACCGCGAAAATAAATCGCAGCGAATACAAATAGAAACGACTAAACGCGAAAAAAAGTATGCGCGATAATAAGTTGGTAACTTAGTAGTTACTGTGAAGCTTTATCCTTGGCTACAAATTCACACAGATATGATATTATTAATGTCGGTTAGCTAACACTGAGTCTACATAAAATCGTTTAATAAACGATGTACATTATATCATCTAAAACGCTGGTGTCTTATGACAGAAAACCACGATTTTGTACATCTGTTCAATTGATTGTAATAACGAAATTCCGGGCCATAAATGTTGAATGGTAAAGGTGAAAATTCGATTCGTCATGACAAATTATGTCAACTTTGCTGTTATCAATTACAACATGTAAAAATTTGAAAAGCATTGGTTGAATGGTTACAAAAATGTATCAAGTTATTGAATGAAAACATTGGCGCTGACCAAAGCCAGCCAACCATACTTTTCATCGAATAAACCGGCTAAGATAAGCTTAACTTTCAAAAGGTAAAACCGTTCACGTATAGACAGAAGACATAGAAAGGCTGCAGGAATTCATTATCGGCATTATTTTAAAAAAATGATACAATTTATCTGTAAACTTCCAACTCATTAAAAACACAATGTAATTAAACTAATGTTCTATCTTCCTAAGGAAAAGTTTATTGTAGAAGAGTGGCGAAAGATAACAGAGGGACATTCAAGCTCATAAGTCGAAAATAAACTGACAACGCCATGACTAAAACAGAACAACAGACAAACAACAGTACACAAAACACAACATAGAAAACTAAGACTGAGCAACAAGAACCCCACCAAAAACAGGGGTGATCTCAGGTGCTCCGGGAGGGTAAAAAGATCCTTCACTACATGTGGCACCCGTAGTGTCGCTCTAGTAGCTGTTCTGTTTATGACCTTTTGGTAAAATATTTTAAAAGTTTCATTTTTTTACTGCTTTAATTACAATTTAACTTTCAAAACATGTGGTCTCGAACATACCTGGTGAATGTCATTCAAAATCAGTATCACGCACACGCAAATCGGTATTATAATTATATTGTTAGTATGTAAAACGTTCTGTAGTTGTCGTTTGTTGATGTGGTTCATAAGTGTTTCTCGTTTCTTGTTTTTTATATAGATTAGACCGTTGGTTTTCCCGTTTGAATGGTTTTACACTAGTAATTTTTGGGGCTCTTTATGGCTTGCTGTTCGGTGTGAGCCAAGGCTCCGTGTTGAAGACCGTACTTTGACTTATAATGGTTTACTTTTATAAATTTTGACTTGGATGGAGAGTTGTCTCATTGGCACTCATACCACATCTTCTTATATCTATATACTTATTTTTGAAAAAGAGATGGAAGATGCAAAAGGGAGAATAAAAACTCATTAGACGAGGAGATACTAAAACTTTTACCAAAAACGGAAAAAGACAACAGTCTACAAAACAGTACAAAAAAACCCTGACTAATAAGAACCCCACCAAAATAAATAAGGGGTAATATCAGGTGCTCCTGAAGAGTACATATTCTGTTCCACATCCAGCAACCGTAGAGTTACCATTAGTTAGTATAAATTACCTGTTAAGTCATATTGGGATATGTCACAATCAAGAAAATTTGAACGGGAGAATACCTTCGACAATTTGAACATATCCATAAACATCTGCAATAAAGATATTCCATAACGGTCATCCAAATTCAGTTGTTCACAATCACAATTATAGCACATGATGGTCTATCGCAAATTGTATTATTTATTTATTGTTGGTACTTAATCCTCTTAGTTTAAAGAGGTAAAATCGAACACTCGAATGTTCTGTATCATGCCAGCACATATCTATCTTTAAGAAACATATTGAAAATTTTATAACTGTATTACCATATTGAGTCTTATGGAAAAAAATATTGCCATGATTTAACACAACAAACTATAAAAGGAAGGTCACTCTAATTTATGTTTCATGCTTACTGGGCCAAATCAAGTTCAATGAACAAATAAAAAACTCACTAACCATACCAGGCATAAATTGTTATGACGTTCGAATCAACGTTTTGAAGGCCAAAAATCAAACACGAAGTTGAAGAGCATTGCAAGCCTTAATTTCCAAAAAGTTTGGCTAAAACCGACTGAGGTCATCTATGTCTGGTTGTAGAATAACCTTGATGTTTCAAGTAATTCAAAATTCTATTAACAAAACATTTATGGAAAAAAAACTTATCCATATTTCATGTATACATTAAGTGCTGACTTCTTGCTGTATGTGAACTGGTATAATGACGCATTTAATGAAAGTCTAGTGGTATCCAAAGTACATGTCGTGCATAATTTCTGATAGAATATTACATCTGAGTTGATTCATTTGTTGCTTTGGGTGATGATAGCGTATTCAATCGTATCAAACGCGTTGACGTATACGTATCTCGAAATTTACGAGAATAAATATACTACGACCCGATAGCTAGCAAAACTTGATGTAAAACATATTTTGTTATAATCCTTTTGGTCACGTATTTAGGTCTTATACATCATTTTGGCTTTCAACTTTTTGGGATTGAACGTTCCTGATTAATGTTAATTCAGAAAAGCGCTTCGGACGCACGAAATTATTAAATTAATATTTTCATATACTAGCACTAGGGCCTGTTGGTGGGTTGTTAGTTACTAAATATACAAAAAGCTTTGCGGGGTTGGATTCTGACATTATTTCTAACAAACTTTTCTTAAATTCTCCGTTTATAAATTAAGAACCTTTTACAAAACGACGGGTCCAACAAAGTTGACCTTTCTATCGTTTTTTTATGTTCCTTTTGGTCATATAGCTCTACAATGTTGGTCTTATTTCAAATTAAATTTATTTTTTAAGTAAAACTAATAATCAAGTACTTAATTATTTCAGTACAGTTTGCGTCTCATTATTGTGACGAATACGTCAGACGACTAACGGAGAGCACATTTTATAAATTATCATGGCATGGACAAACTTCTCCAAAACTATGTGATTTTAGTTTTACTGGTGGAGAGAGTAGTGAGCATAGATCGTATACAGTATGTTTTGAGTCATTGGTATTTGATTTACCATATTCAATGGGTAATGTTGAGCTGCAAGTAAAAAATTATACAGGGAGTAAATCAAAATGGGTAAGTACATTTTTTTTTATTGACAACACATTGGGTTACGGATTACAGTGAACATGTCTTTATTTAAACAAAAAATCGATATTCACATGGGTGCAAAAAAACGATCCTCTGTCTCAGATTTCAATTTTATACTAATCAGATAACGTTCATATCAGTTAAGCTTTCTTTAGACTTAAAGAGTGATAAGAGGATTCTTTCTCATTAATTGGTTTTGTGCTTTTACACCCTCTTTGGAGGGATGTGAGGACTTATTAAAATCGAATGTAGGCTATACCATCTCCCCCAATTAACGGATAATTACGCTATTATTAGTGGTAAAGAATTCACTTGACAGACCGAAACATATAAGAAAAATAAACTTTCGATCGTTACTTACACTTTTTCTACAATCTCGATAGCTAAACTCTAGTTTTAACATTCGTCGCAAAAATTGAAAATTTAGATTCAATCTAAATTGAGAGGGATCGTACTGATCACACTCCGAGGAGGTGGAGAATATTGGCGTTCCGGTTAAGTTGATTCTCCAATGTTTGTGGACTTTAGTTTTCTCGTTTGAATTGTTTAACATTTGTCATTTCGAGGCCTTTTATAGCTGACAGTGCGGTATTGGTTTTACTTATTGTTGAAGACCGTACGGTGACCGATAGTTTTTAAATTATGTGTCATTTGGTCTCTTGTGGATAGTTGTCTCATTGGCAATTATACCACATATTCTTATTTGTATATTTGTTGATCTATAATGTCTTACAGGAAAGAATATAACATAAATATCTAACTCATTAAAATTCTTCCTCATCATGGCCATACCGTGAACTTCACGTTGCAATCTTTGAGCTGGTATGCTATTCGAGACCTTACTTTTTCAAATAAGGACATACTTGATGAGTTAAGATGAAAGTTGTTGGTGGCACTGATTATGAAATTTACTGGATTACGTAATATGTTGAAAACGATGAGTATCACTACAGCAGAAATTATTACTCTACTTACGCTACCAATTGCATTTACTGGTTTATTATTAGGGGATTTGCTGGTTTATTACAACGGGATTCGGTTGCTCAATCTCTAATTTTCTATGTAATTTGTAAATTTTTATCTTCGTCTTTTTTAGAAATATTAAATATCATAAAAGTAAGAATTATTAAATAGAAGATGTCTCTGCAAGGAGATTTACAGCCATGATTTCACCTATTTCTATTCATTTTTTTTTTGTCCACTGCAGTATTATACGAGAGACGACATATCTATAGAGAAAACCTGTGTAAAGCAGGCGTACATGTTAACCATAACCATTATGTTACCAAATAGATATATAGAACCACTACCAAAGACCTACCTCGTCATCAAAGTCACAGCATTTCGTTTTAGAGGTAATATTCGTTCACAAATAACAAAAAAAGGCGCTAAAGACATACATTTAATTTAACAGGACAATTAGAAGAAAAAATGCTTTCAATTAGGTGAGCTGATGTAACCTGTATTTGTTTCATTCACGTGATCAAAATCTACAAAATGTTTAAGTCCTACTGGAAAGTGAATATTGAAGAGTCAATTTGATAGACTTTAAATACTTCTCAATAAATAAATATATTTCCATAAAAATCCATCGAAATATTATTTAACACTGTTTGCAGCTGGCTTTTTGATGAATCTTACAAATTCTACAGAACTTTGAACACTTTTGAATGGAAGGACGCCGTGAACAAAACGGACTTAAGTCGCATCCAACAGAAAACATATAACTTTACTTTCAGCATAATTTTGGATTTGGTTTAGGATGTTCATCTAAAACAGTTTTGAGATAAACAAATTTAAAATTCTGTCTAAGTTGCTGATTTGGCTATATTCAGGCGTTTGTGATTTAGCGATATTTTAAAATTAAGTCAAACTGTTGTTAAAAGCTGAAAGTACACACATGAGTTTTCAGTTAATTAAAAAAAACGACCCTTGTGTGAAATAAATTCTGAGATAATTGGTCTAACAATGTATCTAATATAAAGATCTTCTGTTGAAAGTAAAAAATCTATAATATTTTTTAGAGAAAATGTGATTTCTATCATTCATTCTTTATTCAACTCCTTTTCTATCTCGGTCAGATAAACAACATAGGGTACAGTTAACATTGAATTAGTTCAAAAAACATATGAATTACAGAAGAAAATAATCTCAGCAAACAAAAACCGACTTTTTCTACTAAAAAGCGTTTTAATCGTTAGTCAGCCTGGTTTCTCTTCTTTAAAATTCAGATGAAAATATTACAACAGCCAGCAGCAACATAGGTATAACTTTTGTTTCTGTTGTAATCTTTATTGTTTGTGCATTTCTCAATTCAGCAAACTCGGAGACCGAGTTTAGGTGGAGTAGTGGCTGAGAATCCATGACAAGTCGCCCCACTGCCAAATCGCCCCACACCAAATAGCCCCACTTTTTCACCAACTCGCCCCATTTCTGAAAAATCGCCCCACTCTTGTTTACCAACTCGCCCCACTTTTGAAAAAGGGTAAAATCCCGTTGAATATAGGTCTGCCAACTCGCCCCACTTATGAAAAAGGGTACAATCCCGATGAAATAAGGTCTGCCAACTAGCCCAACTTTTGACTTGTCTTGCTTCCGTGGCGAATATAACCTGGAAGATTTGGAAAAATGTGAATTAGAAATAAAGCAAATTCAGACAATATATTTTAAGTGCTAAAGTGATAGTTTGTTAATCCGTTTATCTAACCTTTTACCTTTCTTTGTATTTAATTAATTCTATTGTTAAATATATATTCGTCGTAATTGAAATCACTTTGACGTTGACAAGTTAATCCGTTGGACACTAATCCTTTTCTATAGATACATATTTTATATATATGCTTTTGAATGATATTTTCGGAAGTCAGTTGAGGTCTTAGGTCTGGTACTGTCCGGACCTTGCTAATATAGCTTAAAGTATTGGTATTCCGTCTTTGAATTACTATAGCCGGAAAACCCTCGGTTATACGACTGCCATACAAGTGAGAGATTTAGCTAGCTATAAAACCAGGTTTAATCCACAATGTTCTACATAAGGAAGTGCCTGTACCCAAGTCAAGAATATAACAGTTGTTTTCTATGCATGAGATGTGTTTCAGCTTTTGATTTGCCATTTTTATAAAGGACTTTCGGTTTTGAATTTCCCTTGCAGTACATTTTTTTTTGTTATTTACTTTTTTTTAAATCGTTAATCAACCTGGTTTCTCTGCTTTGAATTTCAGATAAAAAGATTACACCAACCAGCAGCAGACATATAACTTTACTTTCAGCATAATTTTGGATTTGGTTTAGGATGTTCATCTAAAACAGTTTTGAGATAAACAAATTTAAAATTCTGTCTAAGTTGCTGATTTGGCTATATTCAGGCGTTTGTGATTTAGCGATATTTTAAAATTAAGTCAAACTGTTGTTAAAAGCTGAAAGTACACACATGAGTTTTCAGTTAATTAAAAAAAACGACCCTTGTGTGAAATAAATTCTGAGATAATTGGTCTAACAATGTATCTAATATAAAGATCTTCTGTTGAAAGTAAAAAATCTATAATATTTTTTAGAGAAAATGTGATTTCTATCATTCATTCTTTATTCAACTCCTTTTCTATCTCGGTCAGATAAACAACATAGGGTACAGTTAACATTGAATTAGTTCAAAAAACATATGAATTACAGAAGAAAATAATCTCAGCAAACAAAAACCGACTTTTTCTACTAAAAAGCGTTTTAATCGTTAGTCAGCCTGGTTTCTCTTCTTTAAAATTCAGATGAAAATATTACAACAGCCAGCAGCAACATAGGTATAACTTTTGTTTCTGTTGTAATCTTTATTGTTTGTGCATTTTGTATGTTTTTCTGCATCAAATCTCGTTTGTGATTTAGTGCTCTTTTAAGAATAAGTCAAACTGATGTTAAAAGCTAAAAGTACACACATGGAGCTACTGAATGTTAAATACTTTTTTTTTAAAAACGACCCTTGTGTGAAATAAATTCTGAGATAAGTGGTCTAACAATGTATCTGATATCAAGACCTTCTGTGTTATGCTGAAATGAAACGGCTGAAAGAATCTATAATAATTTTTAGAGAAAATTTGATTTCTATAATTCATTCTTTATTCAACCTTTTTTTTCATCTCGGTCAGAAGAACAACATAGGGTACAGTAAACATTGAATTAGTTTCGAAAACATTTGAACTACAGACAAGAAAATATTTTGAGCAAACAAAAACCAACTTTTTCTACTTAAAGCGTTTGTGTTATTGTCCTATGGTCATTTTTGAATCATTGTCTTTCATTTTTTCTTATGTACTTTGTCTTTATGCCATTTTGTGTTTCTTTGTTAAAACAGTTATTTGTTTTTATAGTGATTAATATTATATTACAATGTTGACTGCTGTACCCCAATTTTTGACGATTTTACCAATTATATCTGTTTGTTTTGCTCACACATTTATATATAATCAATATTATGGAATTCAATGCGACTATAACCCGGAAGATTTGGTCAAATGTGAATTAGAAATAAAGCAAATTCAGACAATATATTTTAAGTGCTAAAGTGACAATTTGTTAATCCGTTTATCTAACCTTTTATGATATTTTCGGAAGTCAGTTGAGGTCTTAGGTCTGGTACTTTCCGGACCTTGCTAATAAAGTTTAAAGTATTGGTATTCCGTCTTTGAATTACTATAGCCGGAAAACCCCCGGTTATATGTTGGTTGAGGACCCGGGCACAATCCTGAGCTAGTTCCCCCAAACTAGCAAATGAATACCTTCAGAAGCAACAGAATGGAATGACCTTCGAATTACTAGCCTTGCAGAAATGGACATCCGTTTCCGATGAGAAGATCAGATACCTGTTTGGAATTTCTGTGCAAATATTGCGGTAAAAAGTAAAATCACAAAAATACTGAACTCCGAGGAAAATTCAAAACGGAAAGTCCCTAATCAAATTAAGATATTGAATGTTTTCACATACCATCGGTGTAATGCAGTAAACGCTTATTGTTACAAATGCAGACATCATGGACATTTTGCCCGCATGTGTAGTTTTCACGTGAAGGCATTTGTCAGCAACCCAAAACCAAAAAAGAGACAGCGACAGGTGAGAAAGTTTATAGAGAAGAAACAAATGTCTCAATTTCCGTTTCAAGGACTCGAGGACAAGGAAATCTCTACTTTTACATGCTCCATACAGGACGAATCCGCGAAACAGCACCTAAACAAGCTAAAAGCGTCTCATCGAAACTCACTGAAAGAAATTGCTGTCCTCAAATGTGAAAATTCGAAATTGGATACCGTTATTAAGGACAATGTAATGTTAAGGAACAGTTTTGACAAATTAAATTTGGAACGTTTACAACATGTTCGACTAATCCAAACGATCGACCGGGAGTTACCTGAGCATACAAGTAGAACTGAAAATTTTGAAAAGGAAATAGTGCGTTTGAAAGAGGAAAACCTTAATTTAACTAACACTAGATACCGTTTAACCATGGATTTGAAAAATGCTGAGATGCAAGACTGTCATTTTATCAAAACACTTAAAGACGAAATTCAGAAACTCAAGGTACTAAATTCCGACAATATACGTGAACATCAAAACTTGCTTCGTGAACTTTCAATCGCCGAGAATCAAATTGAAAGTTTGCGTACAAACTATTCCAACAATTCGCATCAACGCCAACGACAAGGAGGATACCCACGAAGATAACCGAAGTGAAATTGTCTCAATTCAGCAAACTCGGAGACCGAGTTTAGGTGGAGTAGTGGCTGAGAATCCATGACAAGTCGCCCCACTGCCAAATCGCCCCACACCAAATAGCCCCACTTTTTCACCAACTCGCCCCATTTCTGAAAAATCGCCCCACTCTTGTTTACCAACTCGCCCCACTTTTGAAAAAGGGTAAAATCCCGTTGAATATAGGTCTGCCAACTCGCCCCACTTATGAAAAAGGGTACAATCCCGATGAAATAAGGTCTGCCAACTAGCCCAACTTTTGACTTGTCTTGCTTCCGTGGCGAATATAACCTGGAAGATTTGGAAAAATGTGAATTAGAAATAAAGCAAATTCAGACAATATATTTTAAGTGCTAAAGTGATAGTTTGTTAATCCGTTTATCTAACCTTTTACCTTTCTTTGTATTTAATTAATTCTATTGTTAAATATATATTCGTCGTAATTGAAATCACTTTGACGTTGACAAGTTAATCCGTTGGACACTAATCCTTTTCTATAGATACATATTTTATATATATGCTTTTGAATGATATTTTCGGAAGTCAGTTGAGGTCTTAGGTCTGGTACTGTCCGGACCTTGCTAATATAGCTTAAAGTATTGGTATTCCGTCTTTGAATTACTATAGCCGGAAAACCCTCGGTTATACGACTGCCATACAAGTGAGAGATTTAGCTAGCTATAAAACCAGGTTTAATCCACAATGTTCTACATAAGGAAGTGCCTGTACCCAAGTCAAGAATATAACAGTTGTTTTCTATGCATGAGATGTGTTTCAGCTTTTGATTTGCCATTTTTATAAAGGACTTTCGGTTTTGAATTTCCCTTGCAGTACATTTTTTTTTGTTATTTACTTTTTTTTAAATCGTTAATCAACCTGGTTTCTCTGCTTTGAATTTCAGATAAAAAGATTACACCAACCAGCAGCAACATAGGTATAACTGTTGTTTCTGTTGTAATCTTTATTGTTTGTGCATTTGGTATGTTTTTCTGCATCAAGTCTGGCCGAGGACCTAGAAGAGGAGTAGAAAGCATTGGTGGTGGTATTGCTTGTATTGGCGAGGCTGTATGTAATTGTTTCAAATGTGAATGTTTTGACTGTACAGCAAATTTACCCTCATGTGACTGTGATTGTGAAAATATATGTAAGCCATGTGGGGAGTGTTGTACTGCATGGGCGGGTTGCTGTACAACTTTAATTTTAAGTGTGAGAGGCGAGAGTCATGAAGATCCATCTTTGGAAACAACAGGAATGAATCCAATACCACAAGAGCCAGAACAGACTCACACGTCGACTTTAATGCCGGAGCCTTCCGTACCACCACCGGATTACAATACATTACAAGGTATCATTTATTATATAAACTTTAAATTACATTATATTATGCATCTATTGGTTTTTCCACAGATTCAAGCACACACTCATTATTTTTTTCGAATTCAGCTTTATTTATAATCGTTCAATGGATAAACTTTTGTATATGCAGCTCATAATGCCGAATGGCTATAGTTTGGTGGAAAGATGAATGACAGAGGAGATGATAGCTTGGAAGCTGATATTTTAGGAATTTGAATCATCGAAACATAATAAGAAGACCAATATGGTTATGATACGATCATAGCAAACGGTATTCGTAATGTGTTTGATCACTTTATAGTCTTATTAACATCCAATATATTTTTTCTGTACAAACCTAAATACTTATGGTATATAAATCGTGGATGATTGTAATTTAAAAAAGTTAAATTCGATTACAGTGGATCCGCAATGATTTTATCAACTATAGTTTCAGGTCGTTTATATGTTTTTCCCTTTTTTGATTATCATTTTGTTCAATTATATTTCAACTTCTAAATTTATGAACGGAGTTTGTTTTTAATTATTGTATTTATCTTCGAAATAACATTTTACGTCGTCGTTTTTCTACGAATTTATGATTAAAGTTTAAAAAATTCAAAAATATATATAACATTAATAAAACAAAAAATAACAATAGCTAATAAAAAAAAATACATCTCTATGACCATAACCATTTTTATATGGTTCATCAATATCTACCACGATGATACCAGGAAGAATAATAGCGAGCATGTCAAAATGATAAATATTGAATAAAATAAAACTAGAAGTGCCAGGAAAACACTAATGCCCTCCCTTACCGAAAAATAAGCCTCGTGGCAAACGTTTGCAGCAAACTAATGGCAAATATTGCCGCAAGTTTTTAGCAAATGTTTGCTGCAAATTTGCCGCAACCATTTTACCATGCACACGAAGCTTGTGGTAAGCTTGCGGCAAACATAATCATGCAAATTAGATTTGCTGCAAACTTGCTGCAAACTTTTTAACACTTATTATTTCTTTCTGCTGCGTGTTTGCAGCATACTTGCAGGAACTACACATATATACCAATGTTATGTGCCTAGACACATTTAATTTATATCTTTCAAATTACACATCAAAATTCTCAAAAAAGAAAATCCTGTACATATACAGCCTTTGAAAGAATACTTGCTAACGTATCTATGATTTAGTGAATATATATATATAAAGAAAAAAGTCTAAATTGAAAACAACGTTCAACCCTATGATTGCGTGGATAAAAACCTCAATTTTTATACGTGTGCATGCAAAACAATTTTCTTGAGAGAGGGGTCTAAATACAACACAAACAACATTTTCAAAAGACCAAAAAAGTGAAAAAGTATATTTTAACAAAACACATTTGACTAGCAGGTCGAACAATTGATGTTCTTAAACCCTGCTGACTGCCATTGGCGATTGCCAAATAAACGGATCATGAGATGTAACAAAATGGATCATATAATTAATCTATTACCAAACAGAAAACAATAAACTTGCGGGAAGATGGTATACCGCAAACATGAGGTGCAAATATTTGTACACCATATCCGGATTTCGACAATTAATGTCTCTTCAGTAATGTTAGGAATCGAAACGGTATTTGGAAGGCCATATAATTTACCTCAATTTAGGATAGACTCTTGAATTTTGAGGAGTCAAAATAGGATGAACGGATCATATAAACCCGAAGGCAAATATAATACAAGCCCAAACGAAAAAATATATACAAGTCTAAATTGAAAACAACGTTCAAACCTATGATTGCGTTGGATAAGAACCGCAATTTTTATACGTGTGCATGCAAAACAAATTTCTTGTTAGAGGGGTCCAAATACAGCACAACCAACATTTTCCAAAAGACCAAAAAAGTGAAAAAGTTTATTTTAACAATATAAAGAAATACATACAACTATTTCATTTTTGAATGGGGAGCATGCTCAAATGTAAATATATATAAAGAAATATAAATGGATAAATCTCAAATGTGTATTGAGCATATACAAGCTAGGTAATAATTTCATTACAGAATTGAAATAGATCTAAACTTATTAAACAGTTTATATTTAATCAGTTACAAAATCCAAACTAAATATAGCTAGAGTATTTCAAACAAAGTTAAGTTATAATTATATATATGTATGATGGTGAATTTAATTATTTTTTACAGTTCTATGACTAATTTGTACTTACACAATTACATATTGAATATCTTATATCAATGAACCAAAATGCCTCCTTGATCTCTTACATATAGCATTTCTCAAACACAATCAACATGACCTAGCCCAAAATTTCAAATTGCTAGCTTCCGGGAAGTGACAACCAGGCATGCTACGTCAATATTGTGTAATTCTTGCAATGTTCTTGCAAACATATAGAATGGTCAAAGATTTCTGAAATCTTGCGGCAAACATTCTTTATTATCTGAACTCTCTTGCAATCTTACTGCAAACATTGGTGTTTCCGCAAACTTGCCGCAAGCTTGCAGCAAAAAGCTGCAATGTTTGCGTGAAGTTTGCAGCTAGCAGCAAACATATGCAAACACTATTTTCTGTTTAACTGCAAACTTGCAGCAGGTCTACTTTCAGTTCTATAAGGTCTTGCCAGCTGTCATACCTGCTTAAATCTAGAAGGTTATTGTTTTCTAAAAGTTTGCGTACTTCATTTCAATATAAAATCATTCATATAAATGTAATCGAAGAATTCGAATTTCGATGACGTCAGGGGGTGCAGTTACAGGATTCATCTTGCATATGAAGTATCGGTTTTTATCTGAAAAGAAATAGAAAAAATCATGATGTGTTCATTTAACTATTTATAATAGTGCACTATAATTATAAAAAAAATGTTGGTCTTAGTATTAAAATTATACATTTTTTTCAGGTAAAAGTCATCAATGTGTATATTAAACTACCTTAATTCATTCCCATTTGACACTCATAAATTTCACACTACATTAAATATTACTTTTTGTCTGTTGCAGGAGATTCATTAACGCCTCCTCCAAGTTATGAAACCGCTATACGTTATACACCTCCATCAGCACCTCCGACCAATCAATGATGACGACACATACGTACTACATGAACCCATTCTTCAAAATTATTATCTTTGATAGTTACCAATGACCCAAAGAATATCCAATAGTAATGTCGTATTAACGTCTCAAGATGCTGGATAAGCTATCCAAATTAAAGCATTTTCGTATCACGTTTTCGTATCACACTCCGTGCAGTGTGATACGAGAAATATTTCTTCATGCAAAAAATAGATAACAGGCAACAATCATAGGAGAATCTCAAATATCCTATTCCAGAGAGACAGGAATGTACATGTATATATTTTCGAATCTCTTATAACTTCAAGCCGATGATATAAATGCGATCAATAAGAGTACACTTCTGGTTGAATCTGAAGAAAACTATTAAATAAAAGGAATAAACAAGTTGACAAGTAGGATACGAGTATGGCGCTAAACGGAAAGTCGGTTAAGTGTAAAACAACATTGCACCACAGTAATGACACAACACAAAACATAGAAATTCAATTATATTGCTGAAATCGCTTTAAAAAACATTTTACAAATTGTAAAGATTTTGGTCTGTGTTTTAATTGTCTCTCCCTACAATATGAACATAAGTCAGGTAAGACAGACCACGTATTGTTCATTTGTCTTTGGTTGTATGTATGTTTTTTCCAGAGGACTTGGATGTTGGTGGCTGATATAGTTTGTTGTAGTATTCGGTATTTTTAGCGATTTCTATTATCCAATTATATGTATTAAATTTTGCACATCCATTGACAGGACTTCTGCAGGTGAAATAAATATTTCCCTTTTGAACAATAACCGTTATGTTTTTTCAATAGTGTATGGAAAATAAGTTCTTATTCGCCACAAAAGTAATGCAGGGCATGCTTTGATTTTTGTCGAGTCTGCGACTTTTGTCGCGGAAAGCTCGACATAGGGATAGTGATCCGGCGGCGGCGGCGGCGTTAGCTAACTTCTTAAAAGCTTTATATTTTAGAAGGGGGAAGACCTGGATGCTTCATACTTTGTATATAGATGCCTTATGTTACGAAGTTTCCATCTGTCACATGTCCATGGCCATTGTTCTTGACCTCATTTTCATGGTTCAGTGACTACTTGAAAACAAAGTTCAGATTTTTTGTAATGTTAATTTCTCTCTTATTATGAGTAATAGGATAACTATATTTGGTATGTGCGTACCCTGCAAGGTCCTCATGCCCGTCAGACAATCTGTTTTCACTTGACCTCGACCTCCTTTCATGGATCAGTGAACAAGGTTAAGTTTTGGTGGTCAAGTCCATATCTCAGATACTAGAAGCAATAGGTCTAGCATATTCGGTGTATGGAAGGACTGTAAGATGTAAATGTCCAACTGGCAGGTGTCATCTGACCTTGACCTCATTTTCATGGTTCAGTGGTTATTGTTAAGTTTTTGTGTTTTGGTCTGTTTTTCTTATACTGTATGCAATAGGTCTACTATATTTGGTGTATGGAATTATTGTATAGTGTACATGTCTAACTGGCAGGTGTCTTCTGACCTTGACCTCATATTCATGGTTCAGTGGTCAAAGTTAAGTTTTTGAGTTTTGGTCTTTTTTTCTAATACTATATGCAATAGGTCAACTATATTTGGTGTATGGAAATATTTTATGATGTACATGTCAGTCTTACAGGCTTTATTTGACCTTGACCTCATTTTCACGGTTCATTGCTCAGTGTTAAGTTTTTTGTGTTTTGGTCTGTTTTTCTAATACTATAAGCAATAGGTCAACTATATTTGTTGTATGGAAGGATTGCAAGCTGTACATGTCTGCCTGGCATGGTTCATCTGACCTTGACCTCATTTTCATGGTTCATTGGTCCATGTTTAGTTTTCTTGGTTAAGTCTGTATCTAAGAAACTATGAGCAATAGGTCAAATATATTTAGTGTATTGAATGATTGTAACGTGTACATGTTTTTCTTGTTTGGTTAATATGACATTGACCTCATTTTCTTGGATCATGTTAAGTTTATGTGATAGTTGTAGTAAAGCTTTATATTTAGGATTATCAACATAATATCAATGTTTAGTAAAGAAGGCGAGACATTTCAGCGTGTGCACTTTTGTTTTCTATGAAATATCTTTTCGTACATCCTTTTTAGTACCATCAAATTATAAAGAAAAAGAAAATTTAATCAGGACTTAAAGTATTAATTATTGCAATATCTACATGTAGTCTCTAATTGTTTGTTTCTTGTATTTAATGTATGTTATCTTACAATTCTAGTAAATTTGTTTACAGATACTGTTATAATGTTTTACGTTTAGGTGGGTCTATTATGATAATAATTAGTCAAATAATGCTTTGACAGAATCTGAATGAAGAAGATATATTTCAACTAACTTTTCAGTTTATAAAAAAAACCCAAGAAAATCCCAAAGGGGGGGGGGGGGGGGGGGGGGGGGGGGGTGGGAAATCAAAAACCATATCGAATAAAATAAATACCATAGCCTTAAAAGAAAAACGACGGAAAGACGATCGATTCACAATACACTACACAAAAAGTAAAGTTTGAACAACACGAACCAAGAACGGATATAAATGATATAATTGTATAGAAATGAATTGAAACTCCTAAAACAAAGTTGTCTTAAGCTGCTTTGACTATTCTGTTGATGTCTTTTTGGTATTTTATGCACAAAAACATTTTGTATATTACACATATAGTTATACATTCTATCGATACTTATTTTAAGCATTGCACAAGTTCATACTTTTCTCAGACTGCATTATGATGACGTCTTTATACTTTTAAAATTCGTTTGAGGTTACTGTTTGATATTTAAGGTTCAGAAAACATAGGATTATCTATAACTAAGTAGTTGTAATTCGAATTTGGACTAGATTTTAGTGACTCTGATTACTATTAGATCGATAATTGTTTTACATTTATTGTTCTACATTAGGAAATGCATATACCAAGTCAGGAATATGGCAGTTGTTTTCCATTCGTTTGATGTGTTTGAGCTTTTGATTTTGCCATTTGATAAGGGACTTTCGGTTTTGAATTTTCCTTGGAGTTCGGTATTTTTGTTATTTTACTTTTTGTTCATTAAATTTTCAGTTTATAAATGTTCCAAGTTCCTTCGGAAAAAGTTCACAGTTACAATCTAATTCTTTTGTTTAGGCCTTTTTGTTTTGATGCTCCCCAGTTTTTTGATGTTTTTTTTTGTTCGGCCATTAGTAGAATTTACAATTTAATGGAGGATAGACAGTATCGTTATTAAAAGACACGAAGATGGTCAAGACCAAACAACTGACCAAAGAAAACTACCAGTATTGCACATCATTTCAGCATCGGATAGCGGAAGTGACTTGAGGTTTTCCCCAGGAGGTTTACAGTCCAGAAATTATTTAGACCAGCATTTACACAAACATGAAAAGTTTAGTGTTTAACAGGACTCACATTGTTTATTATCATATAACAATCTTTTTTTTGAATCAGACCGAACTGTACATAATCTCTCGTTTCAAGTTAAATTAGATCTAGTAAGAATATTTTGAATCAATCACTTGTCGGACATCATCATCCTAATAGTAGAACATTAAAGCTACTGTTTGGTGTTTATTCCGGACACATCAAGTCATCCATACGGAAATCGTTATCAAAGTTAACGATATCTATCACGAAGTAGGAACAACTGCGTGTGGACTATAGTCTCTTAGGATATATGTACATGTACTTACCGTCTATCAGCCAATGCTTCTGCTGCACTATCGTATTTTTATAAGTAATGTTTAGTTTTTAATAATGCAATGATGTAAAAATCAAGCGTCACTTAACTCAGGATATGTTGCTCATAGAAACATTTAAAGTTTAGGTGCTGGCACCATTATGTAATGATTTAGGTAGCTTCCCAAATGTTTTTTTTAATATAAGTACCTACAAAGACGTATCATGCATTCTGAAATTGGTGTTTGTTTCGTTGTGACTGTTGGTCAACTTAGGATGGTTCCCTCTGTAAACTGTTCAGTATATGTGCCTTCGGAATATACAACTATTGTCAAACTTGTCAAATAACGGCCGGCTACTAGTCTATGGTCAACTTAGTGTGCTAAATGTGGAGCAGGATGTGCTTCCATTTTGTGTTTTTTTGCGGGTTAGTGTTGCCCAGTTTTCAATTTTTCTATGAAGTGTTTTGGTTTTTATCGGTATTTTCGGGGTTTTTTTTCTTGCCGTTGTCTGTTTTTCTTTCACTTATGAGTTTTGAATGTACCCTTGGAATCTCCCGCCTGTTTTTTTAAGATTACAACCTGTCTCATGGCTAGTGTTGCCGTGAAACGATAATGTCTTGATTCGAATAAAAACTTGTGTATGTCATATTCAAGCTATTAATGTTCATTTTTTTTGGCTTCCCAAGCGCACAAGGTGATGGTTCTTCAAAAAACGGAAGTGTTGCGCACAAAATGCTGTTGTACGTGTTTTATTATGAACTTGTAACTAACTAAGCGGATTCACTATTCCAATTTTGTTTTGTTTATGGCAGTACATATAGCTCAAAACGTGATGCACCATTTTATATATTGGTCTTCCCATACTTTTGACCCTGAGCATAGTGTATGGTTAAATAATAAACAAATGTCTTGTGTACTGAAATTAGCATTATACGTTTAGTTCATTTAGAGTGTTGTCTGCTGTTTCCATGTGAGAATGTATTTTTTAATTTAATTGTACTGGTCTTTGTTACTATATTTTCTGATGTCTATATTTTTCCAATTGTATTCATCTTGATCCTGACAGTCAATAGTTCTCCTACTTCGTTTGAAAAGAATTTACTGAAAGGTATCCAAATTGAATTAAACATACTTATATATTGTTGTAAAGCATGGAAATTTAAATTAAAAATTATAAAACTTAATAAATGTCTTGTATCCGAAGTGATTTTCTGGATTTACCTTCATCAGGAAAGTCAAAAGCCATCAAAATGAAAGCAGGAGATATATGACCAACAGGTACCTAAAGAGAATACAAATCATTTGTTATGGCATACTGTTTTGATATAGACACTTTTTTTTTAGAATGACATTAAAGTACTGTACGGTATTGAAATACAATATCTAAAGGAAGCAAGATCTTAAAAAGTTCTTACTTGCAAGCAATGTTTAATCATCATCACTACGAGAACTTCTTTTTGTATTTCATTAGATCTACGATGAACAATAAATTTTACTCAATGTAAGTATACGACGATCAAATATTTCAGATCAGAAGCAATATTGTCAAAAGAACTATTCCATTGAAAAAGATTTACTACATTCTTTTTATCATACTAGGCGAGGCGGAAGCAGCATGGCGAGCGTTTATCATAATATCCGGTAAATGAGACGGGAGTTGTGAACCGGTGAATTTGTTCTTTTCTTCACAGTCCATTAACCACTGTACAATCCTTTGATTTTTATTAACATTGTCACTTCTCAGTGTCTGTAAAACTTTTTGCGTCAGCTGAATTGGATCTTGAGGCTTATGACTTGCGTCATTTTCTAAGTCCGACAGTGTAACGTCAAAATTGTTTTTATTTATGTGAACGGTAGAGGCTGTAAAATGACGTTCATGTTGTCTCCGGATATCTAACATTTCGTTTATTATTATGTCATCATCCGAATCGTCCTCTTCTACTAATTCTGAAAACAGATAAGATGAATATTATGATAAAAATCATCGGGTGCCAAAAGTGGAGCAGACAATGTTTTTGTGTGTTTTAAAGCACCTTAGTTCACCCAGGGGCGGATCCAGCTATTTTTAAAAGGGGGTTCCAACCCAGGTTAAGGGGGGGGGGGGGTTTCAAGCCACGGAACCCCCATCCAGGATCATCCACTGGTTCACCCGGGTTTTTTGTAACAGGGGATCGTGCTGCTTAACTATTAGTTTTGTTTAATTTCATTTCTATTTTGCCTATGTTGTTTCTGTCTTATTTTCTTTCAAATTTTCACATTCGGATTTAATTTTAAGGGTTCACGAAATAGCATGTATTACGGTATATTTTTTTATAAATTTGATTTTGTATTAAGGTAAAGTTCTTAAACTTTCCTGTGTAGTTTTCTATGTATTTTGTTTGTGGAGTGTATTTTTTTCACTTCCAGTCCTTTTTTGTCGAGACTGCGACAATTTTTCTTGGAAGCGAGAGATAGCGATCTTACTTTCACTCGTATTTAGTATTTTTGTTTGTTTGCCGTTTACATTTAGATTCAGTCTGTGGTAAAATAAGATAGACACCAATAACTGTATCAAACCTTCATGGAATTTTACGAACTTGGACACAAGCTTTTGTATGATCAAAACTAAAGTATCCAGAGGAATTTTGTAAATATATTTGTGTTCGTTTTTCCATATTTTACTTATAAATGGATTTAGGTTTTTTGTGCAGTTTGCATTACGACACAGTCTAAGGTTTAAAGTTTTTCAGACATCAATATCTCTGTAAAATTTTAAGGAATTTTATGAAACTTGGACACAAGTTTTTTTTTTATGACAACAAAAGACAGCACACAGATCAAAATTTGGAAAATATTAAGAAAAATGAGATTACAAATAAAAAATTCCGTATTTTACTGATTAATGGACTTGTTTTTTTACAGTCAATATTACGCTCTTAACACTTACAGTATCAATCGCAGAAGAGGACACAGGGTTCCGCGGAACCCTTTACATTTTTTTTCTTTTGGCAAAGGTGTCTGTCTTTAAAAGTTTACCCTTTTTAAAATCTTCAACCCTATTTTTTTTACAATATTTTAATAATCCTTACATCAGATTTATCACAAATGAATGTTTTGAGATCTTTGTATTTTACTTCAATGAGACAAATACAAAACAACAACAAAACATTAACAATGTTGTATAATTATGTTTACGGGTCAACATGCATAGATAATAAGGTCATCAGCATCGATTAGACAGGTGTTTATACAACATACCAAGCACTAAATCGTCCCGATGCTAGTTAAGTAGTTGACTAATTGTTCGCAGACTATAGAAGATTTTAAACACTTTCAACACCAAATTTTCTAAATTACAAAAATACGTAAAGGTATATACATAACTTAAAACAACCTCTAACGAGATTCCATTAATTTATGACGACAGTAAACAGTTTAGTATATATGATGTATATATGATATATGACATATGATGAAGACATATTCTTTCAATCAGTTTAATTGATGTCTGGAGCTGGCATATCAGTAACTGCTAGTAGTCCTTTGTTAATTTATGTACCATTGTCATTTTGCTTAGTTTCTGCTGTTACCTATTCTGACATCGGACTCGGACTTCTTTTAAACTTAGTTTTACTGTGCGTATTGCTACATGTGTTTGTGTTTATTCTACATTGGCTAGAGGTAGGGGGAGGGGGGGAGATCTTACTTAACATGTTTAACTCCGCCGCATTTTTGCGCCTGTCCCAAGTCAGGAGCCTCTGGCCTTTATTAGCCTTGTATGTTTTTTTAATTTTAGTTCATTTATATGTTTCGGAGTTTAGTGTGACGTCAATTTTCACTGAACTAGTTCACATTTGTGTTTAGGGGCCAGCTGAAGCCCGCCTCCGGGTGCAGGGATTTCTCGCTGTGTTGAAGACCTATTGGTGGCCTTGGGCTGTTTTCTACTCTTTGGCTGGGTTGTTGTCTCTTTGACAGATTCCCCATTTCCATTCTCAATTTTATTTATGAAAAATAAGAACTTTTTATTTATATGATCATTAGGGAAATAATATGCATATGCAAGCAAGTTTTGTTTCAGATTGAAAACTTAAGCAATAATGCTGAGGAAATCATGCAATTTAACAGTTCTTTAAAGTTAGTGATAGACGTGACACTTTAAGCAAAAATCAAGTGATGTGATCTTAGTATTTCGTGTAAAACAGACCTCTGTGATGGTTCCAACATAATTTTGTGAGCGGTTTTTCGTTCGGAAGTGGAGTAGGACATCTCTTTGCAGAAAGCAATTGTTTTCCAGATCCTTCTCGTCGACTTGTTGCTGAACCTTTTTGTTGCATCTTGTACATCCCGTTATTAGCATACATATCAGCCGTTTCATATGGTATCTGTGGTCTTCGGCCTTTACCACTTGCATATCGTTCAAGCCGGGTACCCACTACGGGTGTTCCCGGCCGACTTTGTTCCTCCCTAAAAGGAGGATAGAGATCATGTCTAACAACTCTGCGTTGAATCTTTTCCTTTTCCTTAGTTGTGCGCGAATCATGTCTTTTTCTTAAAGAAGGGAGAATGTCTTCGGAAGATTGATAAACAAATCCTCGTCTTATTTTCCCAGGAATTCTTTCCAGGGACGATTGAAACATTGCTTACTTTTCAATAACGTGTCAATGATATCGATTGTTTTTCCTTCATAGAATGATTAACACAAAGGTATGACAAGCTTTTTTTCTAACTTTTCCTGAATTCACTTGTCATTTTTTTTCTAAGTTATCTCGTATCCGCAAATAAACAACATTTTGATCAAGTTCCCTTTCAAAATCTTTTATTCGTGGCTTCCATTTTGCTTTTGTGGCTGTGAAATAAAAATTAATCCCAGTTACAGTATATTTAAATCACACGTACTAAACGCTTACGTCGAGATTAAACGTACCAAAATGCTACATTATGTTTTATATTAATTTAGAGTTTAATCTAGGATTAATTCATGTTATTATATATGCAAACAAAAACACATGGTAGAAACTTCAGCTGACCTACTCAAATAAGTTCATTGTAGAGTCGCAGACACAAATTGGAAACTCGCCGATAAAAATCTGTGCAGACAATTTTGAACAGATCGTGCGCTTTCTTTGTTCGATAAAGCGGCCTCTCCATAGATACTATTGAAAATCGAAACAGAATTTAGAAAGCTTTTAAGGAACACATTAACGATCTAAAACATATGATACAAATCAAAATAAAATAAAAATCTATTTGAGAAGTTGTATCCATCAATTGATTTTTCAAATACTTACTTGATATCTAATAAATATGCGTCCAAGTCTCAAATAGTTTAATAACCGATTCCAATCTACTCCTATATTCTATCTGTTGGATGCTGACAGTTTCAATGAGTTGTAACCTCGCCATTTAGTAACTATACGTACGAGATCCAGTAATTGGAAATTACCTACTAAGTGTTTTCATAAATACTTCATGCCGGTATTCCATCTGATATCCATTGGGAATTTCATTTTCAGACTCTTTATTCATAAATTCTGTATGCATATTTCCATAATATATGACTCTTTCATGCTGTGAAATGAACAAAATTATCTAAATTGCAATGCGAAGTGACAAGAGTATTTTTTGAATATTTTTTAAATTATGTAAGATAAATGAAAACTTCGAATTAATATGAATAAAAGAGAGGCAAATAATACCGAAGGAATATTCAAACAGATAAGTCGAAAACAAACCGATAATTCCATGACAAAAAAAAAATGAAACGACAAGATGACAAACAACAGTACACAAAACATAAATATAGAAAACCAAAGACTGAGTAACACGACCCCCCCCCCCCCCAAAAAAAAAAAAACAAAAAAACTGGGGGCGATTTCAGGTCTTCCTGAAGGGTAAGCATATCCTGCTCTACATTCAACACCCGTCGTGTCACTCTTATAAAATACGTTAAGTTAAAACACGAATTTTCAGTATATTTTGAAAGAACCTTTACCGCAGACTATCTAAAATATGACTTTTGTTTTATTTTTTCATTTGATGTTTCTAAGATAGTAACTCAAAGGATTAAATGCCTCTTGAATGCTTCATGTAGATAGTATTTCTAATACATGTACCAGATTGGTGGCATGCTAGTGGCAACGTCCTCTCGGAGTACTATGAGTTAACCTATATATCAAACCCATGTAGGTGTAGAAATAACGTAGTGAAGGACTGGAAGCTGAACAAAGTGATATCAGACTGACAGGGTGACAAAATAATTGGCGACTCCTTATGTAAATGAAAAAAACTAAGTGACCCTTTAACCCCTGATTCTTTTACACCACAAAAGCAAAAATTCATTTATCAACAACATATCGCTTTCTAAAGAAAATCTTTGAACTAGTTGAGAGGATTGAGCGATCGTCAATGGCCATCTGACCCCGATATGAATATAAAAAGATGATACTAATTGATTGTTTTAAATTTCCAGTGGCAAATATTACATGCATTTCAGTATGAGAACACGTTATGTGGTATTAATATGGACACTGCTGGTTCTGGACCTACATATTGAGTTACTTTGTGTTTCTTCCTTAAAAGCTTAAAATACAGATTTTGTTCTCCTTAAGAAACTTGTAATAAGTCATTGTAATTTCATTTTTTTAAAGAGTTTACAGGTTGTCAAAATTTTCAAAAATGCTTTTTCATGTTCAATGCGCTTAATCTAAAGTGCCCTAAATTCTGACCCGGGATTAAAAATAAAAATAAAATTGTTATAACTCGGAAGAAAAATCTTTGTATATTCGGTAAAAAACCGAAAGATTTCACAGAATTGAAAACTAATGAGTTTTATAGAATGAATAAAAATTTCAGATTTTCCTTTTTACATCGTTCTAGTAATTGTACGACAATGAAATTCGATAGTGTTTTGAAATATATATTTTTCCCCCGTGCGTGTGATTAACTGATGTCACAAATATGTAAAAATTTGGTAGTAAAAATGTAAGATTTCCAAATATATATTAACGGGGTCTTATTACAAGGTTAAGAAAAATGCGGTCGTAAAGAAATACTGAACTAATTATATATATATCATTTGAAAGCCCAGTTAAATGTCCAGTGTCATTCTGATCATGGCTACGTGTATATACAAATGATTATGAAATAGGGTAAATATTAATGCTCACACAAAATCAATATTAAATGGACAGAATAAAATCAAAATTGTGTATACATGTATAAAATTGACAACGAAATTGAATGATACAAAGTAAGTCCTTTTTTCAAATTGTATTTGATTTTCCCTCAATATTTTTTCCACAATGTCACACATACAACATTTTTCTAATGTAGATAGATATTCGTCTATTTTTAAATCGTTCTTCCATTTATATTTGTTTAAAAGGCTTGGCATGTTTGTGTTATTGCTAATCATTTCTATCAAAAATATTGCTAAATCTTACTTTCAAGGGAGGTAAACGACATTTTGTTTGGTACTGGCATTGGGATTTTGTTTTTTAATCTTTGATGATTTTGTAGACTTCGAGACCATAAATATGTATAACAGTTATGCATGTATCAGTTTTTGTGCTGCGACGATTGTCTCAGTATTTACCGGACCAGTACTTTCAAATACAGTTGATCGTAAGTAAACACATACAATAAACTAGATACTTTACAACAAAAAAAACCACAAATCACATAACATCTTTGAGCTCTCTATGACATTAATAACGAATGCAAGGTCTTTTTACATTTATTTCGCTTCCCAAAGTTAACTATCCATTTTCTTTATTATATCGATTTAAATGAATAGCCCATTAGAGAAATTTTGATGTTGATCAAATCAAATTGAGAATGGAAATGGGGAATGTGTCAAAGAGACAACAACCCGACCATAGAACAGACAACAGCAGAAGGTCACCAACAGGTCTTCAATGCAGCGAGAAATTCCCGCACCCGGAGGCGTCCTTCAGCTGGCCCCTAAACAAATATATATACTAGTTCAGTGATAATGAACGCCATACTAAACTCCAAATTGTACACAAGAAACTAAAATTAAAAATAATACAAGACTAACAAAGGCTAGAGGCTCCTGACTTGGGACAGGCGCAAAAATGCGGCGGAGTTAAACATGTTTATGAGATCTCAACCCTCCCCCTATACCTCTAGCCAATGTAGAAAAGTAAACGCATAACAATACGCACATTAAAATTCAGTTCAAGAGAAGTCCGAGTCTGATGTCAGAAGATGTAACCAAAGAAAATAAACAAAATGACAATAATACATAAATATCAACAGACTACTAGCAGTTAACTGACATGCCAGCTCCAGACTTCAATTAAACTGATTGAAAGATTATGTCTTCATCATATGAATATCAGGCACAACATGAATGACAACAGTAAACCCTGACCAAAGGCGATTGGGGGTATGGACCCCCTTTTTTCTTCCTTTTTTGTATTTATTCAACAAATATTCTTAAATAGTTTACTTTAAATTTTAAACAGTAGCATCTCTATTCTTATTTTTCACATGGAAAAGAGAGAGAAAAGGGTATCCATAACCCCTAGCGCCCAACTGTGACCTGGATGGAAAGCTTCAGGTGTTTCGTAAATGATATACCTATTAAGATACTGCGTCCATATTGCATGTAATTACAATGACGCTACTGTACTTAAGAAAAATTACAAAGACATAAAACATGCATACACTAACATCATAGTACATGAAACAAAAACACAAATACAATATTCATGAAATTTATCTAAATGTTTGCATTGCCGAGACAACAAAACAAACCATTTTGTAACGAAAGGCATATTATCGTCTGACTAAACCATTAATCTCAAGATTGTACAATTAAAAAAAGGCGAAAGATACCAAAAAGGATATTCAAACTCATAAGTCGAAAACAAACTGATAATGACATGGCAAAAAACAAACAATATTATACAAAACATAACATAGAAAACAAAACAAAACACTGAGCAACGCAAACTTCGCCAAAAATCGGGGCTGATATCAGGTGCTCCGGAGGATAAGCAGATCCTACTCCACACATGGTAACCGTCGTGTTGCTCTTGTAAATACAAACCCGGTGGAAAGTCTAATTCTGTAGGTCACATTCGAGAATCAAAATGCGTTAAAATAATCTAACACATTCGGCTGCTGATGAGAGTAAATTTTATCTCAGGACAAGATGTGGTCAATTACTAAATACCGGAGTTTATTTGATCCTCCATATGTGTGCGTTTTTGAAAATTCAATTACTGTCAGTGGTGTTCGAAACTATATATAGATATTGGAAAATATACAACTATTCTAAAAACCAAACCTTTCACAATTATGGAATCAAATTTAGACAAAAATGACACCAAAATCAAAACTTTTGGGAATCGCACAAATGACCATATAATAAAACAAAATTTTAGCTGAAAATCTCGAAAAGTTAAACATCCTTCATTTTATTTAATCATAACGTTTTTTTTCAGTAATGTTTAATTCTTACAACTGTGACGAGATTCCCAGGACGGTTTCCCTAGATAAAACCTACACTTTATCATGGTTTGGTAAAACAAGCCCACATCTGTGTACTTTTAATTTTACTAGTGGTGGTAATGGAGAGTCCTATATAAACATGAAACTTTGTTTTGAATCTGAGGAATATGATTTACCATCGTATGATGTAGAGCTTATAGTTTCAGAAGAATCTCAGAAATGGGTAAGTTTTGGTCAATAGAAATAACGGTTTCGGAAACATCAAATATACACATTGTTGTAGAGACAGTACCTTCATGAATCAGATTCCATAAATATATAAGTAAAATATAGACTATATAGCTATTAGTTTCACTACCGGATTCTTCTGCTAATATACATCGAAATTATGATCTTTGTAGATAATAGATTCATACCCATCGTCATATAAATGAGAAAGTTGTGGTCTGTAGATATGATTGTTTTAGACTCGACGAATGGATAGATAAGTTGTGATTTTTGCTTACATAATATAAGTTCTGCTCAGTAGAAATGTTGCTTTCCGTTTGGCATTGTTTTGCTTTAGAAATGATAATATTTAACTTACAACGAATAATATAGGAATAGTATACTTATGTTAGACACTCATTCTGTAGAAATGTTTTTCGATTGCATTGTTTGCAATACATCACAGTATCATATCTAACATAAAAAAGTATAAATATAGCTGTTTACAGATAGATTTCTTTTTTTTTTTGTGGAAAAACTAAAGATATTTAAGCAATATTATCTGTACGACTGTCATTCCTCCATCATACCATTTTTCGAATGTTGTTTATGGTTTCAACTTTACCTAATAAAGGTTATTCTAGAAGCATTTGTTGTGTGCATTAAATCAGTGGCATAAGTGTTATGGAGAAAATGAGACGAGAGGCGTATGTCCACGAATTAGAGGTTGAGTTGATAAAATGATTGATTTAAAATTGATTGATTGATTGATTTTTATATGTCCATGCAGTGTCAAATATTCCTTACATGTACAGGACGAGAATAAATGAACAACGTATACAAATAGGTAAGTCCTGCAATAAATGAACAATCAATAACAATATGTAGGTCCTGCAATAAATGAACAATTAATATTTATAGGTAGGGCCTGCACTAAATGAACAATAATTAATAACAATATGTAGGTCCTGCAATAAATGAACAATTAATGATAATAGGTAGGTCCTGCAATAAATGAACAATTAATAACAATATGTAGGTCCTGAAATAAATGAACAATTAATAATAATAGGTAGGTCCTGCACGAAATGAACAATTAATAACAATATGTCGGTCCTGAAATAAATGAACAATTAATAATAATAGGTAGGGCCAGCACTAAATGAACAATTAATAACAATATGTCGGTCCTGAAATAAATGAACAATTAATAATAATAGGTAGGTCCTGCACTAAATGAACAATTAATAACAATATGTCGGTCCTGAAATAAATGAACAATTAATAATAATAGGTAGGGCCTGCAACATAGGGTCGACTTGGATAAAGGGCAGGAAATTTGGAATGCCATTGGAAATGTGGGTATATTGGATAGGGACAGTAATTCAGCCCTATAACAGGTCCCCTCAAACAGTAGTTGCAAAAGTTCTTAATGTGAAACTCTCTCTACAAGAGGTACCGGATTTCACGTCCCCTTTCTGTCCGGACATGACTGCGGAATTACAATATATCTACATCCCACACATACCCACTTTTTCATGGCTTTTATTGCTTTGTATTGATCTGATGAGTTAAGTTTTTTTGACTGATTTTTATAGTTTGTTCTTAATATGTTGTGCTGTTAAACCACTGTCGAGGGGTTAGGATGAGGGTTGAGCGCTCACAAACACGTTTAACCCCGCCAAATTCATTAAGTGCCTGTACCAAAGCAGGAGCCTGTAGTTCAGTGGTTGTCGTTGGTTCATGTCTGTCATATTTGTTTTTCTTATAAATTGTTTTGTTTTAGATAAGGCCGTTAGTTTTCTCAATTGAATTGTTTCATATTTTTCATGTCGAGGCCTTTTTTTCTCAATGTTGAAGTCCGTACGGTTGCCTATATAATTGCTTACATCCACTTTATTTCAACTTTGGTGGATAGTTGTCTCATTGGCAGCCATACCTCATCTCCTTATTTTTTCTAATTTGAAATACTCGTGGCTGGTCTGTTTAAACTCATGTAAGATTGAATAAATTAGGCCGTTATTTTTCTCGTTGATATTTTTTCACATATTTCATGTCGGGCCATTTATTAGCTGATTGTACGGTCAGGGTTTTTCACATTTTTGAAGGCCGTACGGGGACCTATAATTGCTTTTATCTTCGTCATTTGAACTCTGATGGATAATTGTTTCATTGGCAATTGACGAAGCCGACCGTGCAAGACCCTCATGGGTAGTAAAGGTAGTTAAAAACCACCCTCGTCGTCGTCATCGGCAATTATACCATATCTCCTTATTTTAACATAGGATATTTGCCAACTGACCTTGTGACAAGACACACTTTGTAATAGTCGACTGCCTAAAGATGTTTATTTGGTAGACAATACAGTGTTTGTTTAAATGGGAAGAAAATGGTTAAGTGTACCTGATACGGCAACCTTATTGATGTACATTAATGTTGTATAACAATAATCTTATTTATATATATTGTACATGTATTGAAGTTTTACTCAATCATAGTATATCAATCATTATTGCATCGTCGAGTACTTCTCGTATGCAGGTTTATGATGGCTCACAGCAAAAGATTGAAAGAAAATGTATAGAAAGAGCCTATGAGTTGATTTTTAAGATGCAGCTAACAAGATATTATAAAGAGTCGTCTTGGAAACTTAAACTGAAAATAACAAGTGAGAACCTTCCAAATGCAGACGCCGGTTGGTATATAATATACAATTTGATATACTTGTTTGCTTGTTGGTGTTTAGTATCGCTTTAAGCGACCTTCGTTATAGAATGACGGCCAATTTTTAATGGCGGAGGAAGTCGAGGTCCTTAGATAGAACAGACGACATTTGGCAGGAAAACTTACTATACTTATCAATAATGTACTAGTATTCTTTTATATCTTTGAAAATCTTACATTTATTTTACACGCATAGAAATTACCTGGTAAATTTGGGTTACAATGGGTCAAACCGTTGATAAAATGTACAGTTATAAAAAAATAAAATGACTGCAATATAAAAATAAGAGGATATAGTATGAATGCCGATGAGACAACTTTGCACCAGAGACATATTCAACGTAGACGCTAACATCTGTAGCTCACCGTATGGCTTAAACAGAGAGCTAAACCCAAACCGTATACCAAGTTATGAAAAGGTCCAACATGACTAACAAAAAAGCAATTCATTCGAGAAAACAAACCCTGATTATGTGTTTAAAAACAATAAACAAAAAACAAATATGATATACAGCAACAGACGACAACCACTGAATTACAGGTTTCTGACTTGGAACAGTCACATACCGAATGTGGTGGGGTTAAGCATGTTTGCAGGCGCAAAGCTATCCCCTATCATGGAACCATGGTGTAACATCACCACATAGAAACAAACTATAAAAATCAGTTGATATAGGCTTGACTCGTTGAATCTACGCTAAACACTAAAAGAAACTAACCAAAAGAGTTTAAAAGACACAAAGTACCGATCTGACAGTACTCGCAGTAACTAAAAGCGTGTTCAAAGCCTTTACCAACTAATAAAAATATCATGTATCCCAGACTAAAATATCAATTCAGTGAGACAGGGTGATTCCTCCGCAATAAATATAAGTTTAGAATCTAGAAATAAAATATTTGAAGACAACCGATATATATATATATATATATATATATATATATATATATATATATATATATATATATATATGTAGCAAACGTTAGAGAACAACACAATGAAAACGACACTGTAAGGATATCAAAATTTTACATCGTTTTGCCAATTGGATATTTGTCAGGTATACATAATGATGTATCAACATAAAAGTGATATCATTCTAGTACAAAGTAATAATGACTACTGGGCCAGTGAAAGCCAGCTGTCATATTTCGAAAAGTTGGTGCTGTAATCTTTTCTATACTGTGTCTCTCCAAAGGCCCAAACAGAGAGTCATTAAATGGAAACGAAGAAATCATTGGGCGATGATAGCATGAGAACCGTATTAAGCTCGACATTGCAAAGAAGCATAAAGGATGGGGGGAAATCTCTGCTACTTCTTTACACAAAAGTCGTATTCCTATCATAATGTCCCTATAGGATAAGCTAAGAGAACAGGCTATTTATTAAAAATGCGGATGTTTTTAATCATTTCGGCGTAATTCATTGACATTTGGTAGGAAAAAAATGCCTTTCACTTTCGTGACTTACTGTCCAACTGGGAATCTGATAAATCAACTGAACAACTCATCGAGTAGATTGTAGACTAGACATTATGAACGGTTCTTTAAAATCTGAATAACGAGACAAAACTCGTTCCGTTTCTTACTTTTGATACAAGGACTCCATTTTATTTGTCTTTAATATCAATAATCTATAAATACAGATCTCAATTATTTTCTTTATCATCTTAACCATCTGGTTATAAAACTATCAAAGTTTTGAATGGATCATTTCTGCAATTATGGTTTTCACATTATAGCTATCTTTTCGATTTTAAACTTCGTCTTAGCCATGCAATGTAATTCAACAAAATATATTTAACTATTTGAAGGTATTATTGAGTTATTTGATATGTGTTGTAGGTTGGAATGTTTTGGATTATATTAGGAACACAGCCTTAGAAATTTTACCCTTTCTGATTGCTGCTGTTGTATTATTCTGTTGCTTTAGAAATGAAAAGCTGAGAAACAGATTTTGTACTCCTATAAGAAAATTTCTGAAAATTGGCAATTCCAGCTCGAGTCAACAATCTACAGATACTTTAACCGAAGGGTCAAGAAGATTATCCATCACTGAAAATCGTCTTAACTACGAATCAACGGGTAAAACATAAATTATTATTATTATTGTCATCACGTGTCATAATTGTCATTATTGATATTAGTATAGCAAAATAAGTTACATTTTATGGCGTTTAGGATGTTCGCTAAGTCTTGCTTTTGACTTTTTGTCAGATATTCGGAATCCTCTGGTTTTATCCATGTAGTGCTATTAAAATTTTTGCCCGCTAACCCCACTTTTCTTTTCATAATTTAATTACATATCCGTTTAAAAACACACTTTGTAAATCTTATTAAATCCTTGTTATTCTTCATAGTTTTTTTAAATATAAAAGGTACCAAATGAATGTTAAATATATATGAAAATTCTAGAGAAAATAATTTCCCGCCAAATTTTCAATGGCTTTAATATCTAAACAACAAGGACAACCCTATAATTTGTTTCTGCTTTTTTAGTTCTATGATCAATTTTCAATAGTCTTTTAAAAAGCCTGCTATTGAAAAAATAGTAGCGAAAAATCCTTAAGCATATTGTGTGAATGAAATTACTGAAGGAATAGATGTTTTACGTGAATATATTTGAAATATAGAGTTCAAAACTATAATCAAAATATAAGAGCCGGCTATATAGCTTTCGTTGAAAAGTGCACAATTATACAAAATTTTGAAAAAAAAAATGTATGAATATTTAAATTTTGACCTTCTTTGTACTTCGTTTTTATATGAATAAATTTTTATATAAAGGGTCTTTCTTTTTAAATGCTGTCACGTTGGGTTTTTTAACAAGATTTGTCGATAATTTAAAACTGCACAAATTGTAATAATATTCTGAGTGTTGAAGTGTTCCACTGGGTATAGTTATCTAATATTCATTTAATAGCAGATACATCCATAGGGTCAATTCAACCAAATGCAAACACGCATATGTACAGTAGATATATGATACAACAAACTTAACAATTTTCAAATAAAAACAATATCAAAAGACTTCTAAAAATGAATTTTTGGTTGTATATGTAAAATTTTAAAGATTCGTGTTTTATTATTGTTGTAATGAAAAATAAAAGTAACTGTTTCAAAAGTGTTTATAGTTGGTTGAAAGGACAATTTGAAATGTTTTCATTCTAAAGATATTCATCTTTATTTTTTTTTTATTGTTATTGTATTTAATTCAGATATAACACATATGCAAGACAACGATTCAACATCGTCGTCAGAATTCTCATTGACGTTTCCATCTGAACAAGTAGAGTTTGCCCATGGACAGTGTGTTCCTTCTGCGCCATACGAATTACTACCACCCGGGCCGCCTTCAAATGGACCGCAAGCACCGCCTCCAAGCTACGATGATGTGGTTGGAAAATCGCAAATGAAATCGGGACTCGGATAATAATAAAATTTTTCCTTTAATCTTGAAAAATCTAAATACTTCATATATTTTATATATGTCTTGTGCAATATGCTTTAGGGATGTACTTGAAACAACTATAGACATGGGTTGATAAGGTCATTTCCGTTACCAAAGAAAGAAAACATACACTTTTACATTATCATTGTTTTATAGTTCTGATCTTCCCTTTTTCCATAGAAACATCTTATTGTATTTTTTTCAGGTTATTCCATTTAAGTTATATTCCTATTCTAAAGAAAGAAGTCTTAATGTATCAGTGTTTCCTTTTTTCTTTTTCGCCACAATAAAACATTTCAATGGTTGAATATGAACGTTTCCTGGCGGAGTGATATAGCAATAATGACTTATCTCTCAAACATCGAACGCCTGATAGACCGCCTTGGTACTCTCATGGTAGCGTGTTTGCCTCGAGTTCGGGATGTTTGCGCTGATGCGGCGTAAAGCAATCAATCATTTGAGTGCGAGAGGTCATGGGTTCGAATCCAGGCCGGGTCTAACCAAAGACTATAAAATTGGTATGTGCTGCTTCTTTGCCTGCTAAGCATAAAGAAGTTAGAGCAAAAACTGGTCGGCTCGGAGTGATATTAATGTATTCGGGAAGAGTGACATGTCTTCCTGCGGACTGTTTTATACTTGTGAACTAGCACGTTAAAACGGTCCGGCTCAGTGTGTCAGTCTATTTCTATTTGTATCCATCTGATGAGTTCAGCCTTTTTCAACTGATTTTTATAGTTTGTTCTTATGTTGTACTTTTACACCACTGTCCAAGGTTAGGGGAGGGTTGAGCGCTCACAAACATGTTTAACCCCACCACATTCTTTATGTGCCTGTCCAATGTCAGGAGCCTGTAGTTCAGTGGTTGTCGTTGGTTCATGTCTGTCATATTTGTTTTTCGTAAACTGTTTTGTTATTAATTAGACCATTAGTTTTTTCAATTGAATTGTTTCATATTTTTTATGTCGGGGCCTTTTATAGCTGACCACACGGTATGGGATTTTCTCATTGTTGAAGGCCGTACGGTTGCCTATAATTGCTTACATACACTTCGTTTGAACTTTGGTGGACAGTTGTCTCATTGGCAATCATACCACCTTATTTTTATATAATACAGGTTAATATTCATATTACAGTAACATGTCCTCGTCATGAATAATCATCTAATTTGCTGCTTGACGTTAAGTAGCCGCCAGTCAGCATCATCATCATACTTATAATTCAATCTGGTATTTGGAGAAGAACACATCTTCTCATTTAGTATTAAAGATACGTTTGGTAAATCAAAGAGACCTAGCTAGGGTCTTCATCGTTGGAGACTTGCATGTAAAACTGGCAATACATGAAAAGACTTAGTTTTAGACTAGTATGCACCATTTCACCTTCTTACATGAATTTATTGCACAAACTAGGTAACAGTTATGGGGTAAGAAAATGTAATTTTACATGTTATTACACTTGATGGAAATCGACAATTCATCTTTATGGGGAGGGGGCATTGGTGTAATCAGAAAATTTTTTATAAAATGACATACAGGAACAAGAAATTCTTCTAAAAATCAAAGTCGGGATTTTTTAAAACTAATTTTCATTGAAAATTTTCATTTTACTTAATTACCAATTTAACGGACTTTTTTTTTAAAACCAAAGTTGGGATAAAAGTAAGAGTGGAAAGTAAGCCATATTCTTAAATATCTAAAAAAAAATCATTGTTGGGTTGTCTAAATACTTTGAAAATTTTGCTGGTCATGGTACCGTTTTGAAATGTGAAAATGATACTTTTATAAATTTATTGTGTCCTAAGCGCTTTTCTGGATTTACTATTTTAAGGAACTTCAAATCAAAAACAAATTGAAAGCCAACTTAAAGGTTTTAAGTACACGAAAATACACGAAAAGCTTAATGAATATGAGCATAAAGACCCTAAAAGAATATAGCCAACAGTCTGCATGATGGAGTTTGAACCGTAGTTTCATTAACATTATTTAAACTTGCACATAATATTACATTATTTTATAATTATCTATTTTATCTTTTGGTCAATTGCTGTCCCAAATGTCTAGACAAAGTAAACATCGCAATTTTTGCTAAATAATTTTAATTAAATGTTTTATCTAAGAAGAGACTTTCAGCACAACCAAAAAAAGCTATGTAACATTCTATCATAATTATAATTAGAAACTGGGTAGAAAGTTACAAAAAAGTAAAGTCAATGTTGCTATCTTAATAACGTGTAGGGCCATAAAAAAGAATATGTTTGTTTGCCCTAACCCTACCTAGACAGAAAATAGCTGCTTACTCAACATCTTTTATTGTCCTGATGTGAAATAGTATTTTTGTAACCAGATAGGCATGAAGACTAAAAAACATCTGACACTTCAATTTCTATTTGCCGAAAAAAATAAAAAATGCCTACCTACCAACCCACTGTCTTTTCCTTTGGGTAGGATTTGGGCAAACCAAAAATCTTTTAAGTGTGCCCTAGGTATTATCTCTTTTAATGTATAGAAAAATATCAAAGGTCATTAATAAATATTCATGATGGTCGTTTGAATCATGAAAATATTTTATACATTGCTTGCATGGTAATTTTATTTAAACTGATATTAAGAGAAGACACAGAGAGACTTTGCTTTCTTCATGAATATCAAATTAGGACCACTACGAGTACCGCATGGATGGCAGGAACTGCTTACCCTTCCACAGCACATGCGTTCACCCCGGTCTTTAGGAGGGATTTGTGTTGCTCAATCTTTAGTTTGCTGAGTAGTGTTTTGTGGACTTGTTCGTCTTTTCTTTTTGCCATTGCAGTTGTCAGTCTTTCTGTGACTTGTGAGTTTTTAATGTCCCCTTGGTATCTTCGGATCGTTTTTAAGTGTAATACCATGCACGCTTGCATGGGCCACTTTATAGTTAAAAATGTAAAAATGATAGTTTAACGGTACTTAAAAGCAGATGTGGTGTTATTGCTAATTATAAAATTATTCACCAGAGTCTAAAGGACGTTAATGTAAATATAACTTCGTGATATTAAGATAAGATAACATGTATTTCCTAAAAATGGCCCATCATTGCCCAAATAATTTCAATGATTACAACATAAGATATTCATGATATTGATAATAATGATTATGTAGAATAAAAAACGGACAAAAAAACAAAAAAATGGAACATAACATATACATATTACTTCAGAAACTGTCAAGCAGTGAGCAAGGATTTAATTTATCTCATAAGATCTCTTATGGTACCACTCTTGTATTACAACTCCAGTTTCAAAACATGATGTGAAATAAAATAGTCCATTTTTTTTCTGAATTTTTTCTGGACTCATTTTTTTCTGTTTGACTAAAAGTTTATACTGAATTGAAACATATATTTAGATTTTAAAAACAATATTGCATCTTTTTTTGGCCGGATATCAAACCAGGAAAGTGGAAGGATATCATGTTTACTCGAAGTCAGTGGCGTAGCTAGGCCATTTTTAAATGTACGCCCGAACCCCGACCTCCTGGTTGGGGGCGAAACCCCCCGGATGTTCACGCGTTATTGAGAAAGAGATACCAATATCTGTCATTAAAAACTCATCAATAGCAACATACTTGGTCGGTTAAGAACAAAACTTTACGACAAAGGAGATGATTTCAGCCTCCAATTGTAAACTTTTCTTTTCTATGTAGCAACATTCCAGCAGCACCTGCATATGGAGTATATACATGCCAGTTGATAAGATATTCCAGAGCTTGCATTTCCTATCATCATTTCAAGTGGTGAAGTTGAAATCATCACTTCGTAAATTTTACGAACGCAATCACGAGTAAGTTGACCGTTATGGAATATCCGTTATACAGATGATATCGGATATGTTCCTTATGTCGTAACTACAATCCCGTTCCCTTTTAACGAATCTGACCTACCGAATTACACTATTTACCGGCTTTGTAATAACATGAACACGACGGGTGCCATATTTCAAGTGGTGAAGTTGAAATCATCACTTCGTAAATTTTACGAACGCAATCACGAGTAAGTTGACCGTTATGGAATATCCGTTATACAGATGATATCGGATATGTTCCTTATGTCGTAACTACAATCCCATTCCCTTTTAACGAATGTGACCTACCGAATTACACTATTTACCGGCTTTGTAATAACATGAACACGACGGGTGCCACATGTGGAGCAGGACCTGCTTGACCTTCCGGAGCACCTGAAATCAACCCCAGTTTTTGGTGGGGTTCGTGTTGTTGTTGTACCCCTATTTGTGACATATTGTTCACGCATCGTTGTCAATATAATGGAATTTGATGCGACTGTCGTACAAGTGAGAGGTTTAGCGCTATAAAACCAGGTTCAATCCACCATTTTCTACATAAGAAAATGCCTGTACCAAGTCAGGAATATGACAGTTGTTGTCTATTCGTTTGATGTGTTTGTGCTTTTGATTTTGCCAGTCAGTGATTAGGGACTTTCCGTTTTGAATTTTTTCTCGGAGTTCAGTATTTTTGTGATTTAACTTTTTCCTTGATAGATAGTGGATGCTTACAAGGAAGCTACTGAACTAATGCTGCGTTCACACGTAATTCGAATTCGATTCGCATTAACTAATTCGAATTAGTTTAAACGCATTTGGACGTTAATTCTAATTCGAATTGCAATACGCGTCAAATTTGCTTTACTGTCCGAACGACGTTTACTTTTAATTCGTATCAACAAAAACGGATTTCTAATGCTGCGTTCACACGTAATTCGAATTCGATTCGCATTAACTAATTCGAATTAGTTTAATTCGCATTCGAAACGTTTAACGTCCAAACGTAAATCCTAATTCGAATTGAAATAGGCGTCAAATTCGCTTTACTGTCCTAACGACGTTAACTTTTAATTCGTATTAACTAAAACGCATTTCTAATGCGAATTGGATAATGCGATTTAGCCAATTCGAATCAATTCGAATTAAAAAAGAAGAGTGTGTGAACGCGATTAGCGAATTCGATTCGCATTCGATTCGAATTCAATTCGAATTAAATGTACGTGTGAACGAGGCATAATGTGAATTGGTTAATGCGAATTAGCCAATTCGAATCAATTCGAATTAAAAAGTAAGAGTGTGTGAACGCGATTAGCGAATTCGATTCGCATTCGATTCGAATTCAATTCGAATTAAATGTACGTGTGAACTAGGCACAAGAGTTCCAAGTGGTGAAGTTGAAATCATCCCTTCGAAAATTTTACGTTCGACATAACGAGTAGATTAATGACGACGGATATGTTCCAATTGTTGATATTACCACAATCCCGTCCTCTTTTCCTCTAATGTGATCTACCGAATTAGACTTATCACTGGGTTTGCACACGTGGAGTAGAATTTGCTTACCCTTCTGAAGCACCTGAGATCACCTTAGGTTTTGGTGGGGTCCATGTTGTCAAGTCTTATGTTTCTATGTCGTATTTTGTATACTGTTGTTTGCTTTTTCATAGTTTTTCGTTTTTTGACATGGTATTGTCAGTTTGTTTTCAACTGATGAGTTTGAATATCCCTTTCACGTCTCTTTTATAGTCTAATTTGTTTTTTTACAGTTAAATGTACTGATTTGGAATATAATGGTAATGTATTTAAGAGAAAAAATGCCCAAAACAGTTGCTTAAAAATATGTTTAGAAGCAATCTAAAATTTATATCATTCTATATTTACTCGTATGCTCGTATCTTATGAGTATAACGAAATCAGAGATATATATTTTAATTAGATTGGTTTAAAAGGAGATGTGGGGTAAACAATCAATCGACAAAAAATCAAAACTTTATATAGACATAGTCAAAAAGCAAGTCTCCATTTCAATGTTGTCGTTCTATTAATTTTTTTGACCTTATAGATCTAGTTTACTCACCTTTTTACACTCAAATGTTGTTAATGGACATATCTTCTAATTAATTTTCATAGATGGTCAGGTGTAACGTAAAAATAAATATTGAACTGTAACATAAAAATGCATGCCACATCGTATCTGACCAGATAATGAATTGCTTTAAACAATAGTAAACTGCACAGTAGATTGAGACTTTGACAGAAAATGAAAAAAATATATAATATAAAATATGAAAACAACAATTATTAATTTCATGAGTTTGAAGCGCTTTTCTGGATTTACCTTCATCAGGAACGCTCAAAGCCGAATATTTTAAAGCCGATGATGTATAAGAACCGAAACAGTTACAGAGCTACATGTATATGACCTAAAAGTACCTAATAAATCATATGATACCATTTGATTAAAAAGTATATTTCGTCACTTTGTCGTTTATCTCCAATTACAAGTCACTGAAGAAAAAAATACAAGGCTAGTTGCTTTTTTAATCCGTTCTTATAATTTATTTGGGTTCGAATATTTTTTTCTTCAAAATTTATGTGTACGCCCGGGCGTTTTGACGTAAACGTAGCTACGCGCATGGAAGTGGTGCAGCCTAGTAAAAACAGCAAACAGAAAGTAGAAAAAATAGTTTTGACTTCAGGGTTTCGTATCTTTTTATTCTTCGTGGCATGACCCACTTTTTTCGACTAAATCCCAATTTTCTCATTACTACATACATGATATGTACTAGTCCAAATAATTATGACGTTTTGTACGGCTTTTTGATAATAATTTTTCGGGAAGGTGTAACAGCAAAAATCAAAAATAGCCTTTCTAGACGGCATAATTATTTGGACTAGATATGTACATGAAAATTTTTTTCTATCTAGCATTTTATTTAAAAAAATTTCAAAGATCAGCTGATTTGCATGTAAGCCTATGGAGCAGTCAATTACAAGACTGCAGCCTTCTGGACCTCTATAAAAAGAAGATGTGGTATGATTGCCAATGAGACAACTCTTCACAAGAGACCAAATAACACAGAAATTAACAACTTATAGGTCTATGTACATATTTCCGGATCTGAGATGTTTTCCGATGTTGATATGATTTTACATAAAATTTGGCGGGGAAAATCTCCCATAATTCTCTGATATTTGTAAACAAAGTGATGTTTCGTAATCATTAACCACGTGTATCAGAAGCTGCAAGGATGCCAGAAGGACCAGAATTGTATATGTCTGCACAGTTTGTCAACCAAACTTGTAGAAACAATCTCTTTTCAGGGCAAATACTTAAATCATCAGTCAGTCGACAGCCAGATATTGATTGGAATGAAGAAACATACACAATATCTGCTGTGACAAGAGGGAAAGAACTGAAATTAACATTACAATCGATCACAAATGATCATAAAGAAAATAAAAAATGTGCGAAAAAGCAAAACAAATCACTTGACATTGTTTTCCAATTCGGGATGTCAGGTAAATTTGATTTTTATGAAGCAAATGAACTTCAGAAACATGCTCATCTAAATTTTTTCACAAAAACTGAAAATGACAAAAGCGTACAAATGGTGTTGAGTTTTGTAGACTATAGGCGTTTTGGGAAGTGGCAGCCGAATGGAAACTGGTCTGTGGAACGAGGACCCTGTGTACTCACAGATTACATTCCATTTAGGTAATTTAAAAGACATGCATGTTCATGTAATTAAGCATGTTAAAGGGTACATTTTGTATTTCCACCAGAGACCAATTAAATGACGTGAAATTTACAGCAACTATAGCACGTATGTAATAGGTCACTGTATCAGAGTTCTCACTAAGATTTTTAAGGCGAATCCAGGGACTTGTCATTTTTAGCCACTGCGAGTCGTACAATGAACCATCATGTCCATAGCTATTTTGTCTTAAGATCAAATAAGGTGACAAAGCTATGCCTTGTTCTGACATGTGTTAAAAAATTCATCATACCTTCACTTGCATAAAAGAGCATACTGGTTCCCAGAAGTTTGGTTAAACAGGTACTTCTGATCTGAGCAACAGGGCAAATACATTGTGTATCTTCCCTCCTATTTTTTTTTATTATTCAATAGAAACTTTCAACAAAGGTTCTGCATTGATCTCATGTCCTTAATCTTTCATTTGATACCAATATAACCCAAATATTGACTTTAATATAACTTTTAAGGGGTTCTATATATATATATATATCATGAATGGTCATCAAAGTGACTACACCTGCAAGCCCGACCTCCCCGTAAGTCGTCATTTGAGATCACCTGGGCACGCCCAAGCTGATCTCAAAAACCTTACCATCACTATCATAGACCACAACGAGGGTTGGTCAAGGGCCGACAGACTTGCTCGTGAAAGGTTTTGGATAAGAAAGCTTAGGACAGTTTCCCCAGAGGGCATAAATGAAAAAACATAGAATGTGTCACTCATTTTCCCTACCATCACTTGTTTCCAGTAACTCAGGCTTCCGTTTTGGACTCTTACAGTTTTAAGAAATTTATTCCTCCTCCCAAACATCAATATTGAAAAAAATTACCAGCGTATTGATTATTAATAATTTGTATAGCATTCAAGATTTTTATTTCAGTTTGACTACCACATGTCAAGATAAAGATTCATTTTACATCTTACTGATGAAGGATATTAGTTATCCAAAATTTCAAAAATTTGTTCATGATTTAATTATTTTTTGGTGATGTTGTACCCTTTTAGACTTGTTTTATATATATGTTTATATATATATACCATGTATACCATTGTATACCTTTAGAATAAGGTTATAAAAAGATTGATAAGTTCACCCTGATTGTATGTATACAACTTGTACCTATATTGCATTTATTGTCATCAAAATTCACCAAGTCTACCCAGTATTTATTGAATAGAAAATAGGATACATTCTTAGTGCTGTTAATAAATTTATTCTGAGAAAAAAAATACATACAGTTTATACCTAATGTACATGTTTAATTATGATTTTTGTGTTTCTCTTTTCAGAGAAAATATATTAAAGAATGTTGACCTGTCTGTGTTCAGAAAACCAATTTGTGAAGTGCTTTTGAATCAGAAGTATTTTAATGGTATTGGAAACTATCTCCGAGCAGAAATATGTTACAGGTAAAGTGATATTGAGTTTATTTCTGTCTGAAAGAAGTTGAAAAGTGAGACTTTGGCATGCTGTTTTCAGCACCGTTAACAATGTAGTAGTTTTTGATTAGGTCAATTTAAGGGGAACCACTGTCACGACTAGTGGTACAATGTAGGACAATGAAATTTGGTATGCAATTGTATTAGCATTGACACTTCACATTTCCATGGAGTTTATCTGATTCATGGTCTATTGATTTATAAAATTTTGCATAGTTTACATGTTTACCGTAAGTTTGGGATTCAATCAGTTTAAGATGAACCACTGATGGTAAGTGGGGCCACCTGCTATTCTGACATCCCATTTTTCTGACACACCATTAGTCATTTTAGACACCCAAAAAGATTGTAATTGAAAATATACTTCATTGAATTGGTGACCACTCTCTCTTCTAAATATAAAGAAATTGAAAAGACAGCACTTCTCTTCTGGTGTTTAAAAAATACCATGATCCTATAAATATAAGTCAACCTTGAACATTGCAATATTTTGGTTTATTCCATTCTACTTTTACATTCGTGTGACTAATGCTTAGTTTTGTTAATAAAAATTCCTTAAACAATTGTCAAACTCTGTATACAGTGGTGAAACACTGCTGATAACTGACACAACAAAAGAATGAATTATTTAGCAGGGATCAAGTAGCAAGTAAATTAACAGTACAATAAAACCGATTCCTGACATATAACAATGTACAAAATGTATCTGCTTTAGCTCGTAACAATTCTCTTGATGCCAGATAACAGCAATATTTTTCTTTCATGTATGGGGTATAAACAGGGATTATTAACTTAAGTGTATTTAAAATATGTTGTTTAAAGTTTTCAATATTTTACGAAACAAGTGTTGACAGTTGTCTATCTTTGTACTGTTGTCAGAGGCCCATGAGGTGTTATTCTAGTTATAAATACATAACTCCTGGATTACATTAACTAATACCCTCATATCCCTGAATTTGTACATGCACATTCTGAAAATAGAATTAGGGATAGCATGATGCCACATCTGAATTCTAACAAATTCATGGCAAAACAAAGTCAGAAGTATATATAGTTCATGGAAAAGAACTGTGATAAGGAGAGGTGAAAGATTACAAAGGGAAATACAAACTCATAAGTCGGACACAAACTGACATATATAGCCATTGCAAAAGACAACACAATCAAAAGACAAACAACAGTATACAAAACACAACATAGAAAACTAAAGACTAAGCAACAAGAACCCCACCGTATAAAAAAACAGGGAGTGATCTCAGGTGCTCTGGAGGGGTAAGCAGATCCTGCTCCACTTTCCAAATTCATTTCTTTAGTTTTTATGCATGAAATATTAAGTATGGGGATGAAATTACATGTTAAAAAAATTTGGGTGCTAAATATTTATGTAAAAGTAGTGATTTGGTACAGTTAAAGCACTAGTAGTAGTGATTTGGTACAGTTAGTATGTCTGAAGCTGTCAAACTGAATTATAGACCCCCTTAACATAGAATTTTCCATATTTTGAGTTAGAGCTGGTAGACTTTTCTATAAATTTAATATTATTTGTCCCAAAAATAGTTCACTACACTGTAGAAATCTTAATGAGATAGAGTAGGTGCGATTATTTTAATTTGAATTTATTGTCTAAAGAAATGCACTACGAAATAACTGTGTTCTCAGGCCATGTGACATGTGAGGGAAAAATAAATCAACCACAAAAATACAAGTATCACATTCTAACAAACTTTTTCGACAGAGTTGTTTAGATCTGTTAGTACAGAACCTCAGACTTTATCTAATTTCAAAAATGAAATTGAAATTGATATATTGGTTTCAAATTGAAAAAGGTATACATTGGTATAAAATAAATTTGTTATTATTAGTTCTATATTATCTTCTTCTGATTCTGAACTGCATTGTCTTGTTTTAATGTTATTTTATTTTTAAGTAATTGGTAGATTTTAGCATGAATTACTTACAATACAATAATAATGTAGAGGGATATACAGATTATTGTACAGAGTTAACCCTGAGCAAATAATTAAATTGGAAAGATCAAAGTCGAACATAAATGTGCCTTGTTACTTGTATTTGTATGTATAACGACAATAATCCCTCTTGTTTTTTTGTTTTTTTCAGGGGAGGAATTCCACCATTTCAGGATGCAAAATCTGTATTAGAGCCACTACTCACTGAAACAAATGAAGTGAAAATAAAGTCAGAGAAACCAGATATACTACAGCTTTGTCATTTGTTGCCTAATGAAGTTATTAATTTAGGTTTGTTATAATATGTATCCCTAGTGTTATCAAGAGATCATGTTGGCATTAGAATTCTACTTCAGTGTATCACACAGTGTGTATCTTTTTTTTTATTGTCCCAAACTATTAAAGTAAAAAAAGGAGATGTGGTATGATTGCCAATAAGATTAAGTATTAATATACATTTTTTTCGTTACATTAGAATAAAACAAACTATAGTTCTTTAGTGACTTAATAAGGTTATAATTTGTATAAAACTATATTTATTTCTAAGCTCATACGAATAAGAGATTCAAAGGAGCTACAGTTATTGCACAAGAAATCAGTGATCAGAAATTGAAAAATTAGATTAGATCAGTAAACTAGTGTTAGCCTGTCAGTTCTTTTTATTGGTCTTAAAACTTATTGTGTAAAATCTTTACTGAGTCTTCGTCATTTTTTTTTAAAAATGAATGGAGAAAAACAGACGGTATAATTACTTTTACAACATGTAGGATCGTTATTCAAAAAGACTCAAAATACGATATTGCTAAATTACGTGAGTTTTTAGAACATTTTGTTGAACTCGACGTGTGTACAGATGTTACAACAGACAGTAAGCATTTTGATGAGTACCAATTGTGCACAGCATCGTACATATTTATTGCGTAAATCATAGGAATCCGAATTTATATAAGGATAATTTAAAAAAAAAAAAATAATATAAAAATAAGGAGATGTGGTATGATTGCCAATGAGACAACTTTCCACCAAAGGTCAAATGAAGTGGATGTAATCAATTATAGGCAACCGTACGGCCTTCAACGATGACAAAACCCCATACCGTATGGTCAGCTATAAAAGGCCCCAACATGAAAAATATGAAACAATTCAATTGAGAAAACTAACAGCCTAATACCAGTATGTCTTTATGTACATGTGCTTGCTGACATCCAATCTCTCAGAAACTCATGGACTTGCAGTCATATAGCTTGATTTAAGTTGCATTTGAGAGAATGCTACTTTCTATTTAAAATATGGATCATATGACAAAAATATCTCAGTTTACTACAATGTATTATATTTGGTATGAGCTGTGGTTAAGATGTTCAACTTGTTTTAAACTTTAACAGTTTTTTTTTTTTTATTTTAGAAAAAAATATAAGTTCCTAAAACGCAAAGGATTAATTGGTTTTGTTTGTTGGCCTTGCAACTCCATTAGACAATCTACATATTTGTAAACATCTGCATTAATTTATTGTCTAAGAAAGGAACTTTTTAAACACTACATAGATAAATTGTGAGATACATGTATGCTATGCATATAGCCACATAGAAAAAATAATGGAAAACAATGGTTTAAAGAAAGATGACTCTATTCATTCTTTTTCCAAGGTTTGATAAGATCTGCTCAAGATCTGTCTAAGAGTATGGATGTGGTTTACAGAATAGATAATGATGGGCAAAAAATAAAAAAAAAGAGAAAAGTTGGCCATGAAAAAGAATAGAGAATAAATGGGTGGTTTTCAGATTGTGTTTTGTGAGTACACACACCATACCGGCAAATCAGTAATGTGTACATCCTCCCGATTCTATTGAGGGCTATATCAATCTATTTTATTTTCAGATATCTAATTTATACAAGGAAGTTTGTTTATTACCAACTTTTCAAGAAAACAATTTTCAAGTAATTACTCAAGTTGCAGAAAGTAGTACATGTTGTATGAATATGTCTGTTCAGTTCTACTTTATTTATTTTGACAAAAAGAAATAACTCAATTCTGAATGTTGCCAAAATATGTTTCTTTGCTTTATACATTGTTTGATTGCAAATTGGAAGCAATTTTTATGCCCAACCTAGGGGGATTATGTTTTTCGGTCTGTTCGTTCGTTTGTCCGTCCATTCGTCCGTCCGTTTATCTTGCTTCAGGTTAAAGTTTTTGGTCAAGGTAGTTTTTGGGTAAAGATTCAAAACCCTATGGTACTGACTTGATATTTAAATCTTCCAAGGTTTATAACTACCTTTCATAATTCAAACAAAATAGTGCAGTGAAGTAATCATTCTTTAGATCCAATCCAGTCGATGTCAAACAATTTATTAATGATATGTTATACTTAGACATACAAGTTACAATATGATGTGTATTTGAATTACCATACTTATCAAGAAGAATTTTCTTTATTAAAATTTACATAAGTAATGCATGGTGTATGAATCTGTGATAAAAATAGGTTCAACTATAAATGTAAAATCATAAACAAAGGAAGATAATGCCAACTCAAATTTATAATTTGCCTAGTTAAATACAATTCAATGTTTTATTTTAGTTCACCAAATTGCAAAATGAAAGCAATCTTTACCCTTTAGTGCTCACAAGCACTTTGATTGATGAAGTTGAAGTTCAATCAACTTGAAACTTAGTACACATGTTCCCTATGATATGATCTTTCTAATTTCATGCCAAATTAGAGTTTTTACCCCAATTTCAGGGTCAACTGAACATAGAAAATGATAGTGCCAGTTGGGCATCCGTGTACTATGGACATATTCTTGTTACTTTTTCAGTTATCCTAAAAAAGTCTGTGTTTGATATTTTCAGACTATTACACTTTTGTAATTGGTGTAACTAAATTGCAGGAACTCTTTTGACAAGAGAGTACTAAAACAATATTCGTTTAATTTAACAACTATTTAATTATAGGAGGTACAGGTTATGATCCAGAAAATAGAGATCCAGATTACTCCAAATTCACAGAATGGCTTCAGTGTTACTACAAACCTGGCATGAAAAACATGGCTGACCATAACAAAAGAACAATGTGGTACGATGGTAATCCTGGGCCATTAAAACCATCAGGTAATGACGACCTTCTCAATAAAATGTTGAATAAGATGTCAAGTAGTCTATTGATACAGAAACTTATGGCTTTAATTTGTCTTAAGACTTCTGCAGATATTTAATGAAGCTGAAACCTAACAGTATGATTGATTTTCTTTAATTAATTTATTCTGCACTGATTGGTAGAGTTTACCAATAACTCAACTGACCTCCATTGTTACACTTTAACAAAGTTCATTTTGTCTATGTATATTGAATTTCAGATAAGAAAAAATATTTTTAATTGAATTATCCCTTTCAATTACATTCGTAGAAGATATATTCCTTACTCTAACCTGACACCAAAAAAGAACAGCATTGTCATTTCTTTTTTTGAAAATAATTAAAAATTGATTTATGAGTTTAAGAGTATGAGAAGAATATTTGTCCATGTGATCATAACTTCAAGGGAAACTACCTAAAATCAAAATATCAATCTGATACAAGATGGACAGATGGAGAGACAGGGGGTGGAGAGACAGGGGGTGGAGAGACAGGGACATGGAGGCACCAACAAAATATCAATCTGATATAAGATGGACAGATGGAGAGACGGGGTGGAGAGACAGGGCATGGAGAGACAGGGGATGGAGAATCAGAGGCATGAAGAGACAGGGGATGGAGAGACAGGGGCATGGAGGCACTGAAAAATATCAATCTGATACAAGATGGACAGATAAAGAGACAGGGGCATGGAGGCACCGACAAAATATCAATCTGATACAAGATGGACAGATGGAGAGACAGGGTGGAGAGACGGGGACATGGAGGCACTGACAAAATATCAATCTGATACAAGATGGACACATGGAGAGACAGGGGGTGGAGAGACAGGGCATGGAGATACAGGGGATGGAGAGACAGGGACATGGAGGCACCGACAAAATATCAATCTGATACAAGATGGACAGATGGAGAGACAGGTGGTGTAGAGACAGGGGATGGAGAGACAAGGGCATGGAGAGACAGGGGATGGAGGGACAGGGGCATGGAGGTACCGAAAAATATCAATCTGATACAAGATGGACAGAGGGAGAGACAGGGGGTGGAGAGACAGGGGCATGGAGGCACCGACAAAATATCAATCTGATACAAGATGGACAGATGGAGAGACAGGGGGTGGAGAGACAGGGGATGGAGAGACAGGGGCATGGAGGCATTGACAAAAATCAATATGAACACCTTCCAATTTCATAAAATTCCATAAAAATGAGTGACTCATATAATGACAATGTAACTTTTCTGTTGCTCTTTTGGATTTTTCTCCCACAAGCCTGTAGATCTTGAATAGATACCATACCGCTGACTTCTTATATCTTATTCGTTAAAACTTTAAACACAGAATTGGAGTATAAAAGAAGTGTAGAAATGAAAATGAACATTTGAAATTAGATAACAAGCTTTGAGAGAAGTGACATCTGATTTATCATTCTGTTGCTCTTATTTCGTACAGAGACTTCATAATAAACAAATTGTATTATGTGTTGTTAGTGAAAATAGTTTAAGTTGATATAAATATATAGGACATTTACATTTATCTAAACTTTAATTTGATTTGTAACCCATTTTTTTTGTCTGCACACTTGTCATAATTCTGATGTTGATATAAAGGATCAATGTATTGAAAGTGCACTTTTAAATATTTTAGTGGAGAAAGTTAGAAAGATTAAAAGAAAAAAGAAAATCTCTGAAGAAGTGGAGAAAACTGCATTAAAGGTAAAAAGAAACATCAATTAACTTAGTTTTAAAACTATAAAAAGACAACAACATCCTGGATTACTGCAAGGAAATGCTTTATTCTGGTCTACATGTTTTGCCACTAATGGTGGCTTCTTCAGAACAATTTAATGATAAGAAACAAATGCTGAAGTACATAAAATGAGCTTCACATGGGGTTACAAAAAGGTTAACAAGACGTTACGTCACAATTATAGGTTTGGCGATGTTAAAATGAAAGTGAAAGTAAAAGTTCATAATGAATTGTCAGTATCTTTTCCGAAAATGGACAACACCTCACTGGACATTTTTTACCATTTCAACTTTTTAGCTCACCTGGCCCGAAGGGCCAAGTGAGCTTTTCTCATCACTTGGCGTCCGTCGTCCGGCGTCGTCCGTCGTCGGCGTTAACTTTTTACATTTTGAACTTCTTCTAGAGAACCACTGAATGGAATGAAACCAAACATGGCATGAATGTTCCTTATGAGGTGCTGACCAAGTGTTGTTACTTTGTAGCCGATCCATCATCCAAGATGGCCGCCAGCGGGGGACTTAGTTTAACATAGGACCCTATGGAAAATGCATACAAATGACTTCTTTTAGAGAACCACTGAATGGAATGAAACCAAACATGGCATGAATGTTCCTTATGAGGTGCTCACCAAGTGTTGTTACTTTGTAGCCGATCCATCATCCAAGATGGCCGCCAGCGGGGGACTTAGTTCAACATAGGACCCTATGGGAAATGCATACAAATGACTTCTTTTAGAGAACCACTGAATGGAATGAAACCAAACATGGCATGAATGTTCCTTATGAGGTGCTCACCAAGTGTTGTTACTTTGTAGCCGATCCATCATCCAAGATGGCCGCCAGCGGGGGACTTAGTTTAACATAGGACCCTATGGGAAATGCATACAAATGACTTCTTTTAGAGAACCACTGAATGGAATAAAACCAAACATGGCATGAATGTTCCTTATGAGGTGCTGACCAAGTGTTGTTACTTTGTAGCCGATCCATCATCCAAGATGGCCGCCATCGGGGAACTTAGTTTAACATAGGACCCTATGGGTAATGCATACAAATGTCTTCTTCTAGAGAACCACTGAATGGAATGAAACCAAACATGGCATGAATGTTCCTTATGAGGTGCTGACCAAGTGTTGTTACTTTGTAGCCGATCCATCATCCAAGATGGCCGCCAGCGGGGGACTTAGTTTAATATAGGACCCTATGGGAAATGCATACAAATGTCTTCTTCTAGAGAACCACTGAATGGAATGAAACCAAACATGGCATGAATGTTCCTTATGAGGTGCTGACCAAGTGTTGTTACTTTGTAGCCGATCCATCATCCAAGATGGCCACCATCGGGGAATTTAGTTTAACATAGGACCCTATGGGAAATGCATACAAATGTCTTCTTCTAGAGAACCACTGAATGGAATGAAACCAAACATGGCATGAATGTTCCTTATGAGGTGCTGACCAAGTGTTGTTACTTTGTAGCCGATCCATCATCCAAGATGGCCGCCAGCGGGGGACTTAGTTTAACATAGGACCCTATGGGAAATACATAAAAATGTCTTCTTTTAGAGAACCACTGAATGGAATGGAACCAAACATGGCATGAATGTTCCTTATGAGATGCTGACCAAGTGTTGTAACTTTGCAGTTGGTCCATCATCCAAGATGGCCGCCAGCGGGGGACTTAGTTTAACATAGGACCCTATGGGAAATACATACAAATGTCTTCTTTTAGAGAACCACTGAATGGAATGAAACCAAATATGGCATAAATGTTCCTTATGAGGTTCTGACCAAGTGTTGCTACTTTGTAGCCGATCCATCATCCAAGATGGCCGCCAGCGGGGGACTTAGTTTAACATAGGACCCTATGGGAAATACATACAAATGTCTTCTTTTAGAGAACCAATAAATGGAATGGAACCAAACATGGCATGAATGTTCCTTATGAGATGTTGACCAAGTGTTGTTACTTTGCAGCCGATCCATCATCCAAGATGGCCGACAGCGGGGGACTTAGTTTAACATAGGACCCTATGGGAAATACATACAATTGTCTTCTTTTAGAGAACCACTGAATGGAATTGAACCAAACATGTCATGAATGTTCCTTATGAGTTGTTGACCAAGTGTTGCTACTTTGTTGGCGATTTACTGTTCAAGATGGCCACCAGGATATTTGATTAAATAACGGGACCAATATTAATCAAAATTTGGCCTCAATCATTATTTGGGTATCTGTTATGATTTTTATCTATCTTTACATGATTTCTAAAACCAAAGTAGAGTCAGGTGAGCGACACAGGCTCTTGAGAGCCTCTAGTTTATTTTCCCGTGGTTTTATGACAACCACAGCATACTTCCGTATCCATCCTGATAACTTTACAAGCTGTACAGTAAGAAGGTGTTGGTTCACTCGATGTATATTTTTTAGTTTTAATAAAGTTTAAACAAAGATATCATCATGAGGAACATGCTGGTTCAGGGTTATGATACAGCGAAAGTGTGACCAACTGGACATATAGATCAGGTAATAATGAACAGACAAAAGGTGATCAACAAAAATCATCACTCTTTTTGAAAGAAAAAAATGCCACTTCACAATAAATTACAAAAGGGGATTAAAAAATCAGAAGTAAAAAATTAAAACACATATTATATAGATACACAGTTTTTCTCATATTATATTAGGTTTATCAAGCCAATTTTGGAGGAGATGCACTTTGTAATAAAACACCTTATCACTATTTGTCTGCCATTACTGGACATCACAAAGGTTTCCGTAAAATTTTGAAGTCATAATACAAAATATCTGACGCCACAATGGAAAAGTGATTGTTGTATGACGTCAATAGTTCAAACGGCGCAGATTCTCTGGTCAACCGGCGCAGATTTCCAAAAAAAATACAAAAGTTTTATTAATACTTTGGAATTAATTTATTTTATTCTTTTTGTTACTTACATAATCCATTCATACATTCATAGATAAGGTGTATAGATTATATATATTTTCTATAATGATTAAATGTGCCAATCCTTTAAGCTTGATACCAGATGTAAAACTTGACACAGAAGTGTAAAGATATTGATGTTATGCTATTTGAGATGCCAGAAAGTTTTATGAATACTTTGGAATTGATTTATTTTATTCTTTTTGTTACTTACATAATCCATTCATACATTCATATATAAATTATCTCCCCTTCAAATTATAATTGTCAAAGGAATTTCTAAAATTTAAATTTCTGCAATGTCTGTAGAGAATCTCCTGTTATAACACAGCTTGTAAACAAAACCATAAAAGTTGAGCTTTGAGATAGTTTAAAGTCTGCAATAAAACTGGATATGAATTTGTGCCAATGAATATCATTTTTCAATTAGAAAGCAATTGATATATATATTTTCATTAAGCTATTCTGTTGACAAATTAACACAAATGGAGGACCATTAAGAGGGAGATGTGGGAAATAGGTTAATAATGACATTATTCCTGTGTTATTAATCATGACTCAGTAGATTAAGTATCAGAGTAGGTTTACAATCTGTTCACTTTTAAATCAGTCCTTTGTGCTACATTTTCACACTGGCAGGCAATGATAAAATGTGTTGACACTTGACAGGTTGTTTGTGTCACCATGGTAGGGAGAGGTATTTGTATTAACCTCATGTATGGTGTTATAATATTTATGGTAGACCTTTACATCCTGGTAATCAAGCCACTATAAATATTGACCACTACCATGGTATAAAGTGACAGATCCTTATTCCACTATTCCATATCAATGAAATTAATTTCGTCATAAAGCTCTGCAGGATCCTTTGTTCATTTAAAGCCAGTGTGTTTTTCACAATATCAAAACCATCAAACAAAACATTATACCTCTCTAGGAGTTGGGGCTTTATTGCAATCACCATGTATGTCATCTTTGTCCATCCAACAAATATTTCAGTCACAGTTCTCAGGAACTACTTCAAAAAATGACTTCTTATTAAGTCAGCTTGTTGACAGGGAAGAGTTGTAACTTGGGAGCATTTTTCAGTTCTGTTGAATACCTACTTTGGATAAGCTGTAAATGTCTGTGGACATAATAAAAGGTCAAATAGATTATGAATGATTAAACTTTTACTAAATAGAATAATACAAAACAAAGATGGAATAGACAGCAGATGCTCTTTGAACTCAAATAATATATACCTACATGTACCTGTCATAAAAATATTTGAAATAATTTGGGCTTAGGCATTTCAGTCTCTAAGCAAAGTCTTATTAGCTATAAATCAGGACTCTCAGTCATAAAACCTGTATCTCTGTACTCAGAGAGCAAAATGTGTTCTGGAAACACCAAATCCAGTATTTGCGGTCATACAAATTTTTGAGTACGATATAACAAATCAACTTAACCATGTTAACCTTGCTGTCATAAAAATTTGAAAAACTGTTATCATAATCTGACTCAGAAATCAACCAATTAGATTATTTATGTTCATTATTGTTTATAGTAATTACAATTATCAGATAACCTATTTTTTCCAGAAACCAAAAGTAGAAAAAACAGAACTTGACAGTAAAGCAGACATAAATGGAAAAACAAAAAGAACAAGCAAAACTGCAGTTGGACCTGTAACGCGTCTGAATGTGACTAAAGAAGAAAGCTTGAAAAAAGGGAAGAAGAAATCTTCAGCAGCAAGTGCAAATGCAGATCTTGAAAAAAGCAAACTAGAAGCAGCTGGGAAGAGGAGAGCTACAAGAAGGAAGCAGTCTAAAACAAGTGTTTCTGATATAAATATATCTGATTCTATTACTCCAAAACATAAAAAGGCAGGAAACACTGTTAGAAGAACAAGGAGGGTGAAAAGAAGTTAATGATTTTAATCCAATGGTTAAAAAGTTATTTTAAAGGTACTATAGAAATGATGAAAGAATTTGGACAATCATGTGTCAGACAACGATTGTAGTGTAAATAATTAAATGTCTTGAATTTTATGAGATCAGACAGTGTTTACATAAAATGAGATCAGATTGTGATATTACTGAATGTCATATATCACAAAATGTTTACTTGCCGTGAGCAACCAGACAGGTACCCCTGCCAGAACTGCATAAACTTCGGGAGCATCCGAATTCATCCCCTTGATTTTTGGTGGGTTGGTGTACATGTAGCTCAGTTTTTAGTTTTCTGTATATTGTTTTGTTGATTGTCATTTATCTTTTTTGTCTTTTTTTTTAGCCATGGTGTTACCTGTTTTTCTGTTATTTACATATAGATTCTTACATTGGTACCAGTTGATTATCGGATTTATCCAATCAAGATTGATAATTTAACTATTGAGATTGGATAATCCATGAGTTACTATGTAAGAATCTGTTTCTCTAATATTTATCAAATAAATTTTCATTTTTGATAAAACAAAAATCCCCTTCGAGTGCCTTCCACGTTCCACAAAGATGTCAATTTCATTAACACCTGTCAGCACATTTTGATTCATCCAGTGAGCTGATAAAGGTTATGAACCTTAAACTCATCCAATCATCTTCTGAGATCATTGGCAACCACACTTTGATTAAATTTTTTATACAGTGGGTCCGGAAAGGGTTAAATTGCCAAAGAATTAGAGAAAAGTTTTTATAGCTCCTTTGGTATCTTCTCATTTTTTACTTTGACAATAGACTATTTTATTTGTTGAATGAAACATTGTCATCACTATGTACATATAATAATGTACTAAATGTATCACTAACAGGAAGGTTGGTCCAACATGGTCAAATCTGGCCTGCAACCATTGCAGGTTTTGCTGACCAGTTTAAAACTGTATAGTTTGCTTCAAAGTGACCTGAAACAATTTTTAAACATGCCCTTGTTATCTAAGGGGTACCCTACTGGAGTCTGATGAAACAATAGAAATAAGTCGAACCATATATGCATTAAACTGACAAGATCATTACATCAGGGTATATTTCTTCATTTCCTGTCTCTTAGCTTTTGAAAGAATAATATGAATAAATTTAGCAAAGGTTCTTAGTCCATACATGGTATATTTATCTAAATCAGTAATGTTGTTAAATTATAAGTACATTGTAAACATGGTAAAATAAAAACTAATTAATGTGTACATGTGTATATTCAAATTTGTGTTGTCTTTAGTTCAGTATATGTATCAATTAAAAATTATGATGACGTCTATGATCATATAACTGTTATCATATTTTAGTGATTTATAATATGTTTTAATTAGATAATGTCTATATTGATAGAATTCACTATATTATTTGATATACTATAGTGCGTTGAAACAAATTAAATGAAAAAACAAAATTTCAATCTTTAGATATTCCCAAAATTAAAATTGAATCATATGTAGACTTTAACAACCAATTTAAAGCTTAAAAAATAAAGTTGATATTAAATTTCCATCACATCACATTAATGTTACATACAGGGAGAAAGCTGTAGTTAATGCACATTTTCAATCTTGTTGGAACATCTGATAGATTAAGATATTTCTTCATGCTAAATACCCTCAGAAAAATTGTGTAACTGGATCTTGAAATTCTCTGGCCTTTGTAAGGGGATAAGCATGATAAGTGGGTAAAATATGTAGATAATTAATCATATTCTTTTGACAATATCTGATGTAATTGAGTTAAAGATTATGTGATGAACTTGGATGTGAAAATTCAGGAATAAAAATAATAATTTTCTCTATATGTATGATTTTTTGTGAAAGATTCTCTTGTTTGGTAGGACTTTCAACATATATTTGTTCCGCCTAACAGAAGTTCCACTGGAAACTTTTTTATAAACAATGTCATAATATCTATAACTAAGACAGTATATGCAGTTAAATGTTACAATTTAAAATTATTTTATATTTTAATATAAGTGATTGAATTTAGATGCTTTTAGGAATTTCCTGACACTCAGTATAAATAAAATGAAATAATTGTGATCTAATTATCAATTTGTTTGTTAATTGGTGTTGAATTGCTTTTGATATCTCGATTCCCTTACTTCTCAGGTATGATAGAAGAAACTTTGATATGTGTACACAATTGCTGTTAGCCCTGCATCTGTGTAACAGTTTCAAATTATCATTTGTATCAATCAATGAATTTTTTATACCTTCAGACATATTTTTTATAAAGATTTGTTTCTGAAATTTTAACATTTTGAAAGATACTTTGTTCAAAATGTTTATTTGATAAAAAAAAAATATATGGTTAAGCTGCATACTTAACATGCTTAATACTCAAAAAAAGGTTCAAGAGTTGTTTTTATGTTTTTAATATGATTCTGTGAAATAGCATGAATGTATAGTACCTTATCTTTCTGTGAATAAATCAATGTGTCCATCATTATGTTTTGCCATGTTTCCAGTAAGTTGTTTTTGTTTTTGAATGTCCAGGCCATTATCCCAGATTTTTGATATGTCTTCTACTTATGTTGCTCAAGATATCATACTTTACAATTTTGTAGTGTCATTAGCCATACTGAATAAAATGGCCCTATTTCCATTTTGATAGAAGGGAAATTATCAATTTGCCTTTTGTAGACATTTAGTTTCAAGATTAGATCTGTTCCTCACTAACAATGCAAGAAAGGTGAACAATATGAAGGTTTGTTGGAAATGAATAGTAATATATTTGGGGTAAACATCAATGGGACATATGCCACAATGAAAAATTTTGATATTTCAAGAAGGTCTTCACATAAGAGGATTTGCAAGAAGATATCAACAATATTCTACACTTGGAATTATTGCAAGTAATATATTATGTTTAACAGATATGTCAAATGACCTAGGAAGTCATATTCACACTTCAGTCGTTAGGGTTGATTTTGGACAGATCCTTAAAAAATATACTTAATAAAGACATTACACTAAATCATTATTCAAATTGCATTGAGTTTAGATTTACCGACCTCAAAGAAATTATATTTGCTTTATATTGAAGGCTCACTGTGATGGAGATGGAAAAGGCAATAAATGTTCTGTTTGTTTTGTAAAGAGTGTTTAAATTTTGTCTTATGGATGTTTTATGTTGGGTAAAAAGTTCAAGTTGTCATTTTGCCTAAATTTTTAACAAATTTTAACAAAAAATGTTACTTCATAAAATGCGTATCTAATTTATTACTAAAGTTGTGCCTGGTTACTACCAAGGATAAATTAACAGTTTAGAAATAATACTTTTCAAAGATTTTGATATCGAATAATTTGACCTGTCTTGCATGTGGGAAAAACTTACTTGTTGTAAAACTGTTCTTGGACACTTTTCACCTGTTCATTTTTGGTACATTATTTTGACAAGTGACCATAGTTTCAATTCCAGAGTGCATGTGAACCCTTTTTGGGGTATTTTTCATGGTTTGATTTTGTCTCCCCTTGGACAAAATTGTGGAAATGAGACTTGCACGTTTGTTTCTGGCTTTTGCATCTGTGTCAAAAAAAATTTATGGTTCGTGTTATGTCAGTTTAAGGGGAACAACCAATGTTATTTAGTAAGTAGTTGTGTTAGCATTGGCACATCTCATTTTGATGAAGATCAGTTGTCCCTGCCCCTCATTCATGGTCCATTTGACTCTGAACATTTTGCATATTTAAATTTCAACATTTTCATCAAACTATCAAAATGACTCGCAGGTGAGACATTAATCTGTGTCAACAATTTATTTAGTGTTTACACGATCAGCAGAGTCTCTGACAAGTGTTGTTACCACTTATTCTTCCTCCCAAAACTCGATGTAAAACAATTTAAAAAAAGCAGAAGATATGTTCGTTAAAAATTCTATTTCTTAACAATTTTCATAAATTTCTAATTTCTTTTGACGTTTTATTTATTGCCAATTTGACTTAATTAATGAGTTCATCCAATATAACTATGAAAGTAGAATAACAACACTTAAATCACCATTATTAGCTGTAGAGAAATTTATCTTTTTTGTTTAGGACCGTTCTGTTTAATTCTTAGAAGCGACGACTATACACGTTTGTCTGCGGCAATATCGGAATGTTTCAAAAACATTTCCCCTAAAGTGAAAAAAGATTTGTTAAATAGGTCCCATGCGTCAGTATTTAAGACCTGAAATGGAAAACACATTTGAACAATATCTATTACGTTTTTTGTAACTTGTTATTTTTTTTGTACATATATATGAATATAGATTTTTTTGGGGGGGGGGGGGGGGGGGGGGGGTAACAAATCGTAGTTGTATACAACCAGAAAACTGAGGTTAAATTTATGTCTTGCTGAAAGCAAACCCTCCTTGTGAAATGCTCTTCAATTATTTGCATTGATGGCCGCTGTATGGTAGATGAAAAGATTTCAATGAAGCTTTAAGCGTACTGACGATATTTCTAAGTGACAGCATAGAGTTCGCATAAAATGTTTGCATTGCACCTGTAACAAAAATCAAATTCAACGGAATTTTGGTAGCTCGAGACGTTTTTAGACCATTCCAATTGCTCAAGTTGTAGTGTAACACTAATTGAGAATGTCCATTTCGTTTTGTGAGTAAAAATAATAAGCCTTTTAAGTTTGTAGAAAACCAAGGCACTCATTTTTGCAAGGAAAATAGTTGGAAAAGTCGATCATTTCATTATTATGATGATCCTTAATTTCATTTAATAATACCTTGATTCGGTTTGAGTCCTATATTATTTCTCCTAACTGCTGTTAGTATGCCATTTTAATACATATGCACTTCTGTACGATCGTTCTAAAAGTTGAAATATTATAGTCACTGTGGCATTTGTAAATATAATGCATGTCAGATATTTTGACGGCCGCCCGATATAACAGCAATTCTCACGAACATGCCATGTTCTTATTAAAAGCTTAAATACATTTCAAACATGTAACAATTCTAGATGCTTTAATTTATGGAATTGTCACGTTGAGTTTCCTTAAGCATTTCCAGTCATAAACTTTGATATTTGGAAAATTTGATTTATCTAAATTAAAATTCTTACAATGTTTTGTACTGCTTAAACAGATAATTTAATTCTTCAAATGATCATTGTGTAGTGAATAAACTGAATTAGAATCGTTCCATTTATATAAGTAGACAAAAGTAATCCGGAATTATCATCTATGCATACAGAAAACCCTACATTGTACTTATATATGATGTTTGGTAAAAAGTATAGCAGAAATAACATCGATTGTAAAATTAACCTATTAGGTTAGTGGGGGGCCGTTAGTGTCTGTGCGGCATCAAATGTAGTTGAAATTGTTTACGTTAGGTAGAAGGATGTTTTGTTCCCTGAGGTGGATTCTTACATTGACGTTATAATGTAAAATAAGATTTGGTATGACTGCCAATGAGACAACTCTCCACCAGAGACCTAAATGATGTAGAAGGTAGCAATTATAGGTCACCGTACGGCCTTTAATAATAAGCAAAGTCAATACCGCTCAAAAAGCTATAACATGCCCCGAAATGACAAATGAAAAGCAATTGAAACGAGAAAACTAACGGCCATAGTTATGTACAAACAATTAACGAAAACCAAATATAGTATACAGCAACAAACGACAACCACTGAATGGCAGGCTCCTGACTTAGGACAGACAAATGATTGGTAGTCATTTAGTATCAGAAAAAAACTTAATTCGGACAATGCAGCATACAATGCTGAGTAACCAAACTTTTGTTATATGCGTTTAAATTATACTAGACGCATACATACACATAATGAATGATCTTTAGTCTCTTAGTATTCGAACATAAATCTTCGCTTTTTTCTTCCAACCAATTAAGGCTTGACGCTGTTTCATTTTCAGAGATGTCTTTTTATACCATGTTATACGACATAGATCAATTAGTACCAGAGCGTCAAACTAAACCAATATCAATTAAATATAAAATCTAGGTAAGAGTGACCTACTTTTGTAGGAGGCTGTTTGGCTTTCCCAGCTTCACGAATCGTTACGACTAGTCGTACTCGTACTATTGCAATACTCACTTAGTGTCAGTCATTCACTCATTCATTCATTCAATACTTGCATGAACCTAGTATACGATTAAAGAAAAAAAAAACAAAAAAACAAAAAACAAAAAAACAAAAAAACAAAAAAACAAAAGAACCCTAAATGCAAACATGAACAGTTACAAAGAAAACCAGAAATTTGTGTCATAATGACCATAGGTGCGTGAGAACAGGACCCTGTGTTGAGTGGCACATTGATAGTAAAATGTATATTCAGAGTAAGAATATGGCATATTGGTATACACATGGTACAAAAAACAGATAAATATATGGGGATTTATGATCATGAAGGGGATGGACTATGCGGGCTCAACACAGTGCGGAACATTAAGCTTTTTTTTCACGTGCTTGATGTAAATGCTCTTGTATATACTGGTATTACATATTGATTCTTGAGATAACGTCTCTCATTTGTGCGATACTTAACATTTTTACTTTTTTGTATGTTTCTCGGAACAGAAAGAGACACATATATGCAGTCCAAATTGTTTGTCATATTCAGTAGTTTGTAGAAATTTCCCCGCAACTGCGTCAGTCTTCAATGTGCATGCAGGCATAGCGCTTTAACGACATAGAGCAAATAATTACGATCAAGCCTATGCTAGGGGCCATCTTGAACTTACAGTTTCATACCTCTCTGTGACTTTGAGATTGAGAACAGCAATACAAGCGTCGTTCTTTGAGTTTTGTAACATGTGAATGTGTAGAGATTTCGCAGTAGTAGTTAATACACCATACCCATTCTTTTCTTGCTCCTAGAATTATGGCAGTTATCTTCCATTTATAGTTTGAAACAATACGTATTGCGAACCAAATGAAACTTTTCCACAGATTCATCTATTGGTGTAGTTTATTCACTGGGACCTTTAAATTTCTTCTAAGAGAAATCTATCACTCTTTGATTAATTTACCTGAGTAAAAAAAAAATCTTCTAAATAGATGAAAATACATGTTCCAATTCAATAAACTGCATGTGATTTTGTATTTATTCAATATCAATAATAAAAAGTTGATTTTTTGACAAAAAATTTAGCATTGTTTCTACTGAAATTTGCATTTTTTTGTTTTTGTTTAGTTATAGAACACATTTAAGAAGGCCTTAATTTAAACATCATCATTTTCCAGTTATTTTTGTCAAACACAAATATTTTGTTTTTACATAGGAACAATGTTGAAAATTTTGTCAGAAATCAACTTTTATTAATGTTTGAATCACTGTTTACATTCAACAGATTGAAAATATATCATTGATATTGAATAAATACAACATCACATGCAGTTTTGTGAGTGTAAAACATGTATTTTCAACTTTTAGAAGATATTTGTTTTTACTCAGGTAAATTAATGTGTGATGGATTTCTCTGA